TATTATTGATATACGCATAACAAAATAATAATAATGAATCAATTGAGCATATTTTTTAGGGAAAACGGAAAAAAAATATATAAAAAAGTCGCTATAACTGTCTAACATTATGGACTTTTTGAAAGCACCTGAGGAGGTTAACCATCTCGTCTACCTTTCAAAGCTAAGCTCTTTATTCCTAGAATTTATTCCTTATAATAAATATATAATGATGATTATTATTATTGAAATAAACTCTTGATCTATCTCTCTCTCTCTCTCTCTCTCTTAGAGAAATAAAAATTAAACACTAGCAACACAGGAAAACTAACAACTGCATTTTACAAGAGAAAATTAAATATTAAATTTGATAGTTTTAAGAAAATATTACATTAAGTGGTCGTGGGCTCACATCTCTCAGATGCCCTTAGTACTTTAGTCTTAGAATGTACTTCTCTGGCTAAATTTATTACAGTAATATATATAATAAAGCAATTTATTAAATTGCTGTGCGATTGGATAGGATTAGTTGTTCCGAATGCGATTCTTTTCTACAAAAAGGGATTAGGGAGACACAAAGAAAAATTAAAAATCGATAATATTTTTAAAATGTATTATTCCTTTCATCTTTTAATATTATTATAAGTTTGAGAAAACCATCTTATCGACATTCTCTATTTCATTACCCCGTTCTCTATCTCTCTGTGGCTATCATCTTCTCTTTATTGCCAATAATAATTTGATCACTCTTTTTTTATTTCGAAAACAATTTAATGCCTTGCAATGTTAAGCGAAAGCTAATACACACACATATTAAAAAAAAATTGTGCTGAATTCATTTTAATTTCTGTTAAAAGAATTTAAGATAAGTAAATTTACGAGATGCCGGACATTTCAGTTTCAGCAAACATCGTTGCAAAAAGATGTGCCATGAAATTGTACATAAGAATATATATATATTATATGAATATATTTAAATATATGTATGTGGGAAACTTAATAAATTATCAACTTACATACATTAATGTTCACATATAATAATATATATATATATATAAATGATTTCATCAATAATTATGTTTTTTGTTTTATTTTGAAAATACATTTTGCACAAATTCGTCTTCTTCTTCGAATCAACATATTCCGCATTATAATAATGTGCACATCTTCAATCAATTTATTCTGACCAGCAAATCTATTTCAAAATTCAATTGATGGCAGAATGCTTTATCGCTTTATCTTTTCTAAGTCATATGTTTTTCTTTCAATTCAATTGTTTTCATATCTCTTATCATCTGTATATCTTTTTATAAATAGTTTCGAAAACGAATTGACTGGATGTTCTCTCTCTCTCTCTTTCTATATATATATATATATATAAATACGACAGAATTAGGAGGAACAAAAGAGATAAATAAAAAAAAATAAATAAAAAAAAATAAAAAATAAATGAATAAATAACAACAAACCAAATTGTAGATGAAGAAATTAAACGAAAGAGCAGCAACAAAAAAAAATAACAATGGCTAAAATTTACAATACATACATACATACATATGCATATATGCGCAATTGCAATATGTAATGTAAAACATTTAGTGAACAACAAATTTTTGCACTTAAAAGATATCACAATTTTGAGAGATGCCACAAAGTCACTCACTACACACTACATATATATACATATATGTATGTATATATATTATATGTTTTTTATGTATTTTCAAAAATTTCAATATTTTTACAAACAAAACAAAACAACAACAACAAAAAAAGTGAAACAAACGATGACCTTTTTATTAAACCTACGATATAATTAATATCCAACGAATTAAATTTATTTTCTTGAATTTTTGATAAATTTTTTTTTTATTTTAATCAATCGAAACATGTATCGCGATGTGATGCCCCGCTCATTCGTAACTAAAAACGAAATGTCTTCAATTTAGCCAAATCTTGCAGCGAAATGGTGAAAAGCTTCATTGTCGTTCTCTTACTTTTTATTTATTTATTTATTTTTCTTCTTTTTTTTTTTTTTTACACTTATCCATTTATTCTTGAAAACGGTGTTTTTCCTTGCAATCGTGTACTCGCCTCTACTTTTACATATATATACAAACATACATGCATACATGCAGTAAACTAATAAAATAATAGAAAATTAAAAAAAAAAACAAGAGGAAAGAGACTAAGTATTTTTATTCCCGGCGGATTAAAAACACATGGCATATGTGAAAAAAAACATGTTAGTAATTTAGGGCGTATCCGTTCTTCGATTCCTATATGAAGAAAAAAAAAACTCAATTAAAACTATATACTTTATGCATATATGATATATATATATATCTGAGTTATGAAATTTACAAAATATTTTCCTTGCTCTCCCCAGTCCATATCGTAGTCTTATTGCTTCATTATTCAAAAGCCTCAAAGCCTCGTATTTATAATACTTAGCAGCTTAAGATAAACCCAAACCTTTTACTCTATTAGAGGTTTTTTGAAAATTATTTTTTGATAGATTTAAAGCAAGATTAGGGAAAAGGAAGTTAGCTCAAAATAGGCGTAAACAGGAACGCAAAGTCAATGAAATTGCTTAGGGAAACTTTCCTCTTTGTATTCTTCCACGAAACAATAATCAAAGCCCCATTAAGGGCGGAATCAATTTTTGAAATTCGAATTCATTACATCCCTAAATCAGTTAATGGCCATATGCAACATTGCTTTGATGAAATAAATGACTTAACCTTAAAAGGACGATTTAATTACCATTTTCCCAAGTTACTACATTTTAAAAAAGGTTGTACATGTAAACGGATGCAAATGTCGTATTGTCATGCAATGTTGCTTTGTTTTTAGGTTCAGTCCTAAGTGTATTAATAAATATCATAAAACACCCTAATGCTTCATACATATTTAATTAACGCAACGTACGAGCATAAAAAGAACGTAGCCCATCATATTTTTATGCCCATCATCGAAGAATGACGGGTATATTTATTTCGTTAAAACGTTTGCAACACTCAAAATGAAGTTTAAGAGACCCCACAAAGTATATATACTCTTGATCAACATGAAATTTTGAATCGATTTAAGCATGGACGTCCGTACCTCAGTGCAGTGTAAACATTCTCCTGCTATCGAAATCAAATTTGGCAACAACATTAAAAGTTCTTGTTAGTTAGTTGGTAAAAAAATTGGTCCAAATCGTTCGAAAGACACGCCTACAGTCCCACTTAAACTGAGACTACTTTTGTTTTTCGAAAGAAAAAAAAATTGTTTTTTTTATTTTAGAGGCGAAGCTATACTATCTCTTGAAAAGGGGAAAAATTGACCACGCCTACCCAATATTATAGCACATCAAATTTGAACTTTTTTTAATACCTTTATAATACGCACCGCTCCATGAGGCATTCATGGAAATTCATGGTCATTATCAAAGTCGAAATGCACCTAAGCATACCCGTCGGCTCGTCTGTCCAATTGTGCAATATCTGTGAAAAACATTCTTTTATACGCAAAAATGTAGTTATCGCGTACAAATTTGCAAAAGAGTTTGAAAATGGCCCAAATAGATCGGAGAATACGCCTACAACAATCAACTGCAACTGAGAAAACCTTTGCTTTCCATTTCTTTGGCTCATTCATTGCTCATAAACTAACAAGAATACAACAGGTACAGTATACAAACTTTCACAGAATTATTCTATGAAAATAGACAAAATCAGTCACGCCCACCCAATATTATGAAGTATACAAATTTTGTATGCTTTGCTTCTTGTCAAACTTTTATAGTATAACGGTGAACGGAAGAGATTCGATCGCAATCGAATATAACTTTCTAACTTCTTCGTATATAAAACATACGTAACAAGTCATATATCAGCAAACTATGTAAAGATTTTCTTTTTAGTTAGAAACATTTGTATTCAGTTGTATTCATTCGAAACAAAGTAAACAAGTTCGCTACTCTGTATTAAATCCATTCTATCGGTGGTTATGAGGTCAGCACACTTTCACTTTGAATTGTCAATAACTACGTTATTGCGTCTGTTCCATCAAAATCAAATCAATCCTTCTAGCCTTCTAGTGCCCTTATGCGTTAAAATGTATTGAGGAGCATAAGCTATAATGATCCGAAAGACAAAAGACAAGAGATATGACTGCTAAGTAAGTAAGCTTTCGAACGCTCACGGGAATTGACACACCTCGCTTAGAATTGATCACATAAAAGTTTAAATTTGAGAGAATACACTACACTCCCTTCCCTCTCTATGGCAAGTGAGAAGTTAAAGCCTTGGAAGTTACTTTCATTCAATACTATTCGTGAATCATTCATTCAGTGGACGCTACTGCAAATTGAAAACAACTTTTGCAACAATATTTGAACGCCACTGATAACATATATTTCATTTGTTGTGGTATTTAAAATACAGAGAGCAACTTGAAAACAATCTACCAAATATTGTACAACAACATCGATGAAATCCTTTTATATGTCATTGTTTTGCGATATCCTCGCCCAATGTAGACTCTTTCGCTGAGCAATTGCATCCAACGAATGCCGAAATATAGCTTTCAATTGTTTTTTTATTTTTTTTTTTATACTTAACTAACAAAAAAAAAAATAAAATTTTGTATATATGGGTAGGGGTATGGTGCTCTTTCAAGATTCACAGATTATCATCAATGTCGACGTGCAAGTAAGTCATTATCTAAGCCTACAGAAGCTACTAACTTTTCCATTTGACACATGGATTGGTGGTTGGTTAATCCTTCGATTACTTATTTGAACAATCAAACTAAACGAATAACGGGCTTTGCAAATTGTAATGTTCCCGACTGAGTTTGTATTCAGCTATTAAAATGCTAAATATATATGAAGGAAAAAAAAAAAACAAAGAACACAGACTTTGCAGTATGACGGATCTGGCCTAATGCCATAATTCATTGTATTCATTGTATTCATTTCAAATATCAATTCATATTTAATTTGTACATAAAATTATTATTTAATCACTTACCTATTACAGGCAAAACCACCAAACCACTCCACTGTTGCCAACATTCACACCGAAAACTTGCTCATTGATTTGTGATCTTATTGTTGTTAAAAAACACACTCGATTTTATTTAATTTTTTTTTTTTTTTTTTGCTGTTACACCATGTATTCCATAATTTTGCGCCTTATGACTGACTAATCTAACGCATAAGCATTACAATCCTTTTAATAAATTCAAATAAAATTTGCAAAGATTTTTTATGGCTTCACAACGCAGCCCAAATAAAACTCATAATGATGATTATACTGTGTCTGTTGTGTCAACGCGCAAATAATACCGGCCACTTATCACTTGTTTTATTCCTTCTAAAAGGAATCACCAAAAAAAAAACAAATAAAATAATTTATTTCAATACGATTACGAAATTTTTTTGTTTTGTTTAGACTTTATTATTCATAACTTATTCTCGACTATTTCTTTATGCTTCGTTTATTTTTGAAAATGTTTTTCCTTCAAAAAAAAAAACAAAAAAAAAAAAATAGAAAAGAAAAGAAAAGCTTTCTCTTTTAGAAAAAGCTCTTCGTGATTCGTGATTGTGATAACTTTCTTATGTACATGTCGATGCATATAAAGCAACTCATATATATATATATATATACATTTGTTTAGTAAAAACAAAATAGAGCGCATATGTATTCTCAACTTTAAATATATATATTTTTTTTACCTTTTCTCAGATATTTTTCATATCCTCCCGATTGACTAACAGACTAGAAATACATTTGAAAGTATTATAATTTTTTCAATCAACTTGTAACATTTAAACATCTAAAGTCCCCTAGAATATTCATATACAAATATATATATATATGTAGTAAAAATTTTTCAATCTAAACATATAAGTCATATATCTCTTTGGCTTAGGTCCGCTTATTCTCAACTCCTCATTATAGAAAATAAAAACAAAAAAAAAACATCCATACATATATACATATGTATAATCAAATTTAGGATGGATAGATGAAATGTGGAACGGAAAGCGATAAAATTCCGCTCCGAAGAGAAGACCTGCCCTGAATAATTAAAAATATAACTTTCTTTTGCTCCTTCTTTTCTTTGTTTTTTTTTTTTCATTTTTCGTTCGTAGTTCGTTATTGCTGAAGAATAGTTGTGCACGCATATAAAAATGCTTTTACTTGAATAAATTAGTGCAATGTTCAATATGCATACACATTCATGTGCATGCTTATATACTCTCTTTTTTTTTTTTTTTTTTTTTCTTTTATTTTCGCAAATTATTGATTAAAATTTCACAATTACTTGTCAATACATATTTTCGTAAAATGACCGAAATTATTTCTTAATTGTAAATAAATAAAATTTATTTATTTCATTACACACAGAATTTTTCTTTTATTTATAATAATAAGCATAACTAACACTTTTCATGATTGTGTGAAAAAGTTCGTACATTGTACGTTGAAAAAAAAACAATTGATTTATACACATTTTTGGTTAATACACACACACACACATACACACACACATTTATGTCTATATATGCTGCATATACTGTATACACTTATATATAGTTTTATTAAAAAAATTAAAATTTTCTTAAAACTTTTTTATTCATTTCATGCACAAAATCAATTTAATGTAAAAAAAAAAACAATTGAGAATATTTTTGCTAAAAAAAAAAAATTAAAAAAAAATAAACCATTTTTTTAATCTTACTTTTCTATATAAATGTATTTATGCACATATCTATCTCATAAATATATATATACATAGATATATCTAAAGATATATGTATATATAAATTTTACGCAGTGTATTCTAGTTTTACACACAACAATATTTAAAACGCCACCATTACTTTCTATTCACGAACCTTTCTCGACAACAGTTAAATCGTATCTGACACAGTTTAGCCTACATTCCGAATGCGTCTGTCGCGGAAAAAGCTTCCAATCTGACATTTTTCTTTCGAAACAAATCGATAAATTTGTTTGTTTTAATTCTTTCTCTCTTTTAATTTTTCCTATAGGGATATATTTTTTTTTTTTTCATAATATTTGCTGCTTCAATTTTAGTAAGTGAAAGTGCTACACACACATTTCAAGCGGTCAAAAGTGCATTGGCACATGCATACCACCTATACATAATACATGTCATGTTTATGTTTTAAAAGTTACAATGTTAAATACATACATACATATAACAAATAATACATTTTTTTTTCCCCATTTACTTTACTGATTCCATGTTTGCATCCTTTCCGTTATAAATCGTTACGTGTACGTTTTGAAAACAGTATTTCTAATTTGCTCACCTAAGTGATGAACAGGTGAATGTGCTTCTAGCTAGCCCCTAAACAAGAAGAGATCTTCCAACATAAGACAGACAGAGAGAGAGAGAGAGAGAGAGAGAGAGAGAGAGAATTGTGAAATTCTATTCTCATCTGTAACCGAATCTGTTATAATCATTATCTTTATCTCGAAAAGATGAAAAAAAAAAAAAAACTTTTTTTTTCCTCACTTTTTCCCACCTTTCTCCAGGTACCCTACAATAACCAACACAATATACGAGGAAATTTGTATCATTATGCAGATTCGTTTTCTTCCAATATGATCTTTTAACATTTTGCATAATTTGAAATCAATAATAAATAATTTTTAATACCGAGAAAATGTTTACCTTACAGAGATAGACAAGTGCACTGATGCGCTCAAAGTGTATTCGATTCAAAATTTTAAATCGATCAAACATATATATAGGAAAAATTCCGTTATGGGATCTTTGATGTATTGAAAACGCCTTGACAAAATGGGAGAATATATCCCGTATCCTTCTTCGCTGGGAGATATAAAAAAAATGGCGCATCGCTATATATATGTGCTTGACAACGTCTGAACACAATAATAATATCTTTCAAATTCGATCTTTTTAATTCGACTTAAGTATTACTATATTATTTTAGTCCAAGAATAGATTCCAAGACTATAGTGTTAAAGCGCTAGCTACTAAAGGCTATCGGCTTTATTGAAACCTCTAACGCAGTTAAAATTTCAACCCATGATCATTGAGTTGTTAGTCGAAACTCCATCTAGTCAATCACTCAGACAAATCGATTCAAGTAATCTTTTAGTTCTATATATGAAAACAGTCGAGCACTTAATTGACTTTTAAATGATTTTTCTTGAATACGCTGTTTCATTCCTTTCAACAACAACAACTACAACATAAACTGTCAATCGTAAAAAATTTAATAAACATATTACTCTAAAACTTATAGACATCGTCTTGGACTAAGCACGTCTTGAGTTACTTTTATATATTTAAAAATAAAAATAAATTCTAAATGTATTTTAAAATAATTTCAACATTTTAACTAACATAAAAATCATTTTCATTTTAGGCAAACACAATCCTTCGCATCATGCTGCAGCAGCTAACGGTGAGTGCATTCTTTTATTTCTTTAACGCCTTTTCCTATTCGATTTCGATGTTTTTTTGCTAAGAATTTATTCCAATATTTTATAAATATTGTTGTTGTTGTTTTCTCTTAGCTTTCTTCCAAATATCTATAAATTATAAAAAATATCATATTTAACAAAATTTAAAAAAATTTCTTCGATATACTTAGTTTAAGCGGGTGAAAGCTCGCTAACTGCCAAAAATGCATTTACATTAACAATTTATTAAGCAACACAGTTATGCAAAAGAGCAAGCCCACAATATCATACACCACGTTTGACCAAAAATAACAATAATAATATGCAACATATATATATATATATATATATATATATATATATAATGTAGTTAAGCTTTATTACTGTTTTATGGCTCGTCTTCAATTTTTGCGATTTTTAAAAAATTCATTTCATCCTGCAATCAATCCAAAATCTATATATATATATAGCTAAATATATATAATATAGCTGAGCTTTAACACATTATCTTCACACTTTAAATTAAATGTTTGCGGTTTTTAAAAAAGTCAAAGCGTCTCGTAACCAATCCAATATCCGTAAACGGAAGCAGTCATTACGGATTCTTCTAAGAGTAGTCATTATATTGTGAGCTTTTATCCAACTACAACTTTTCTATCAACAACAACACAAAGCAAAGTTTGCTGTAAGGCTTTTGTTTTTTTTTTTTATTGAACAAATCAACAAAAACCATTTATTTGAACTCCAACAAATTCTTTGCTGACATTTTAAAAAAACTTAATATTCCCAATTAAAGTAAAGATTAGTAATTTACTCTTGATTAAACAATTTCAATGAAATTTTATTGTATAACAAACTTTAATTTAAAAGTAAATAATAGTAACCGTATTTATGCAATTAATGAAATGAAATTTTTATGACCGTTATTTTCTTTCGGCGGAATTTCGCTCCCTCTTTGGTTTAATTTTTTCCAGCAACGTTTTATGTGATGCTTAAAGTTGGGTCAATTATCTATCATGATACCCCAAAATTTGAGTGCGGGAAATGATTGTATGATGTGCTCCCTCACTCGTATTTTCCGCACGGCTGCGCGTCTCTGTGTGTTCACGCCTCTACTCGTCCACTCACCTCTACAGTTTTTTCTGTTCCGGTCAGCAAAATCGATATTTGTCGCTTCATTTTTGTAGCACTTGTGCTACTCTGTCCCGGATCGACTTATTTTCTTTGCCGCAAAAGAAAGAATAGACAGTAAAATTCCGATTTGCGAGATAGTGTTAGATTTCTTGTGCTGTATACAACGTTGAGTGTACAGTGTCCGATTGTCGCCCACTTTTTCTATCTTATTTTTGCAAATATCTAACTGATCCCTTCTTTCTCTTGTTTTTTATAAAGTCGATAAGAAATCATAGAATATTGAAAAAACATTTGTGTGTGTATGCGTGAGCGTGAGCGTGAGATTGCAAACCATTGTTCATCACCGATGGACTCTGTAAATGTGCCGAGTTTCAGAATAACATCATATAAAGATTGTAAGTTGTAGGTTTTTTTCTACAGTAAGAGCGGGAGTTTTTGCAATGATGAATATTTTCACATCAGACGAGTGGCCACTAGACAAAGGGGCGTGTACACAATAAAAGAAAACAAATAAGAGCATTATAGTCGAACAAGTTCACCCAGTAGATATTCTACATTATTTCGCCTAATACAGTTACTCATTCGATTTGGCGATAATACACCAAAAGTTATACATTATTTCAATGTAAATGTATAATTTGCATGAAAGCCATGATATTGGAGGATGTTTTAAACGTCAACTAAGATGGTACAAATTTATTTGTCGAAAAATTTATAATTTTTCAATTGCTTTCGTCATAACAAATCACAAATTAGGCTTTGTCGCCATAAAAGAAAGGATCTGCTTTCTTGAGAGTCTCTGTCAGTCTAAAAATCAGTCTTATGTAATTCAAATACCCTGGCGTTATTAGAATAGAAAAGATTTTAGCTGAGCTGAGATCCGAAAACTAGACCTACGTGGTCCAAATTCTGTAGAGCTAACTTTTATGTCAAATTATTATTATGAATGAACTCCCATTAAGAAATGTTAAAAAAGACACAATTTCCGTGGGACTGATTCTATAGCAGGAAGCTCAAGAAATAACCCCACCCTATCCGAAATTTTCGCACAAACTTAGTGCGCCGAAATACAATTATAGTGCGATTTTTGCCGCGAAATTCAAAAAATTACGCTATTTTTTCATATAACGACTTATCAGAGTAAGGCGAAAATGGCCCGACCCGAACCATTTTCAAAAGCGTTCGTCTCTAAGCTAAAAGATGTCAGTACAGAAATTACATTAAAATATCTCGAAAGATGTGACCTTTGTGTTGAACACAAAAATACATAGATAGGCCGAGTCTATGTCAAGTCCTTCTGACTATTACGTCCTCAAAAACTTGATATATCCTTATACAACAGGTGGTGTTGGGTATAGACATAGTTGTAAACAAATTCTAGATAATTTAAAAATACAAAATGAGGCATAGGGACGTTTCATATGAAACATATTTGGTTTGATATCTTACGGCGATGCAGTCGCCTCTCTGATGAAAGAAATCTGTGTAGTGGCATCTCTGTTTGGCTGACAAATATCAAGTTTAAATTTTTTATGTTTTATTAATAGCAAATTTTGTTTAGAATATATTTTAAAAGAAGTAGTTGTCTTGTTGAAAATGGTGATTGTTTTGGGTGGAGGATTAAGTGGACTTTCCACAGGATATTATCTATTAAAGAGATTTGGGAAGCCAGCTGCAATATTTGAATCTTCAAATCGGTTAGGAGGCTGGATCCGAACTGAAAATCATAAAGATAAAGATTTTATATTTGAATCGGGACCAAGAACAATTAGACCTAGAGGAGTGGCAGGTGCCAATACTTTAGAAATGATAGAAGATCTGCAATTACCTGTCGAATCTATTAAATCAACACATATTGCAGCCAAAAATCGACTGATTTATGCCAAAGGCGAGCTTTGTCTGCTACCAAATAACTTGGGTGGAATATTTGCAACAAGGCCGCCATTTAGCAAGCCACTTTATACGGCTTTATTTCACGATTTACGTGCAAGCAGTAAAAAGATCAAATACGGAGATGAGTCCATATATAGTTTCGTAAAAAGGAGATTCGGCTCTGAACTCGCTGATTACGCTATAAGTCCAATGATTTGTGGCATATGTGCCGGGGACGCTAAAGAGATAAGCGTGCGTTTTTTAATGAATGATATCTTCGAAACAGAACAACAGTATGGCGGTGTTGTAAAAGGCTTTTTTCTAAGTAAACTAATAGGACGCAAAGAAGTACGAGACGCTCATATAAATTCTCCTGGGATCTTTGCCGAGAATATGCCTTCGCTTTACCAACGGGCCGTTAAAGAGGGATGGAGCATGTATCGTCTTAACGATGGCTTAGAAACATTACCTAAAGCTTTAGAAGCATATTTACGCTCACGAAACACTGAAATCAACTTATCTTCCGAATGTAGTAAAATACTTTTCAGCGACGATGGCGTTCGCTTAAAAATTAAAGATACTCTGTTACTTGCAGAACATGTCATTAGTAGTTTGCCTAGCTATAGGCTTGCAGCTTGCGTGAAAGACCAACACCCGGGCTTAGCTGGCCAACTTCTAGCGATACCCTATGTAAACGTTGCTGTGGTCAATTTGCAATACTGTACAGATAATCTTTTACCACAGCGTGCATTCGGTTTTCTAGTCCCACCTGTTGAGCGCAGACCGATTTTGGGTGTAATATTCGATAGCTGTTGTTTTGAAATGGGAGAAAACACAGTACTTACCGTTATGATGGGCGGGAAATGGTTTGAAGAATACTTTGGACAAAACCCTACAAAAAAAGACCTATTGGATATAGCCTTGAAAGAAGTTGAAGATATATTAGGAATTTGCCAAGAACCAAGATTTTCAAGAGTGCATATATTAGAGAAATGCATACCGCAGTACAATGTTGGTCATAAGCAAGTAGTTGAAGGTATAAGACGTTATATTCAACATTACAAATTATCCTTATCGGTTTGTGGGGCAGCTTATGACGGTGTGGGTATAAATGATGTCATAATGTCGGCGCGTACAAATGTGGAAAGCTTATCATTTTCATGAAAAGGATTATGTTACTTATTTTATCTTTCCATTTAAAATATATATATATTTATATATTTTAAAACGTTATACATTTCGAAATAAAACACAACGGAATTGCGAGAACTATTAAATTAATTTACTTTCCAAATCCACCAAGGCAAGTTGGGCTAGGATCTAAAACGTCATTGACATTCCATTGTTGCGGTGCTTTAGCTTCTATAGAAAGAGCGTGAATAAAATTTCCCGATAACTTTTCTTTAATTGCTTCGTTAATTAATCGATGGCGCTGAAATGAAAATTTTATTTCACAGCAAATGATACAACAAATCTGGTATGGGTCATAATATCAAAAAATTCTATCTTAAGAACAAAGGTGTTTCAAAAGCTCTGCTAAACAAGTCTGGGCAAAGGAATAAATTTACTGAATGAACTCTACGTAACTTCGTATTATTCGTATTACAATTACATATAAGAACTCGATCGTTAATACGCTTTTATACATAATGTACAATGATAATTGTACATACGTTCAACTACGAACGTTTAAACTGTTTTAGTAGAGTGACCGTTAACTTTGGTGATAGTTCACATTTTTAAAATTGCAAAAAAGGAAAATTCTTTCCCTTCAACTATTTCGCAGAATTTTTTTGTGTGTGTGTGACATATAAGTCATCATTATTGCTTTAGTCGAGTTAATCTCAACAAACCCAAAAAAAAAAAACAAATAATTTATTCCTATTTATTATAGGAGCTGCAAGAGAAGGATTGATTTAAGGTCGTTCGATCCTCTTTAATTTAAAACAAATTATATACCTTAAGTAAGGATAGCTCTTCAAATTTATTGGACACCACAAAAACTTTAAAATGTGTCTCTGCTCCCTTTGGCACATTATGCATATACGATTCGTTAACCACTTCAAGGTGGACAGGTTCGAATCGCTCTTTCAAAACGCAATAAATTGCTTCCTGAACAGGCCCTTTCATTTTAGACACTCCACTCATATTTATTCGTTGCAAACGAAAACCTGTAAATTAAATATATTATTAAACAGCGCAAGATTTTTTTTTTTTTTGCAAACACTTACCATTGAATGCTAGACGTGGATTTAAAAAATTCATCAGCGATTTCTCTGAGTAAGGTAAAAAGTAGCGTTGAAGACGCTCAATGATAACAAACCTTCCTCTTCTTCTTATTCAACATGCAAGTCGATTTGATTTGAAAATAATAAAACGGATAAAGAGATGTCATATAACGTGGAATGTCAGAAAACAAAACGGTTTACTTATTCACATATCCATAAACAATCGCAATATGTTTCTGCTTTACTTGAAAAAAGGGCGCGTTGTTTACACCACCCTTGCTGTCTCATCGTTTTAAGTAAAAACTGTAAAAACTCTTTAAGCCATAAACTGAAGTCTCGTATCCCTGTCACTAATATATGGAACGCACGAAGAACCCCAATTCTTCAATATATCAACGGGCAAAATTGGTGCAATATAGAAATATGAGCATTCCAGCTTAACCTAATTTCCTACTTCCTTATTTTTAAGTAAATGTTAATTAAAACAGCATTTATAGGTAGAAAAATTTCAACAATTAATATAATCTATAAAAAGTTCACTAATAATCCACCAATTTTTTTAATTTTGGTGGAGCAGAAATTGTAACACGGCTACGACTACTTCCAGCACCAGCCGGATTGCTTTTATCAGTAGTCGTGGAAGATGAATGAAGAGTGCGTTGGGAGGATCGTCGATGACGGCTCCTTTCACCACCATGTCTTACTGATTGTTCGGGTTCACAGCCTTTCCTACCTGACCTTGATCGTTCCCAACGTCGTCTCCCGCTCTCTTCCTCACCGCGTTTATCACGGTCGACTCTTGAACGAGTAGACAATGTACTTCGATCTTCGTGATGAGAACGCCCACTGCCATAATTAGTTGAATGCTCGCATTTCGATTCTGGTTGACGGCGCGCGTGTGAGGCACTAAGGCGTCTCCTTCGAGAATCGCTACGTCTACTATGCGAGTGTGAACGTGATCTCGTATAACGACTAGTTCGACGGTGCAACGGGCTTCTGCTTCTTGAACGACGGCGTTCACGACTTTGAGTGCGTTTCGTCACTATTTTGCGTTCATGACTATAACGTTTACCTTGCTCAATGCTGCGGGATTTGCTGCGTTCATCTTTACCTAAAACATCGGAAGTGCCACTTTCTGACCCAGCACTGTTCGGAGAACCGTGGCGATGGCGTAATTCTCTTTGTCTGTGGACATTACGTATTTGATCATTTAAATTTAATTTATACTGCAATATGATTTGCTCGACATTACCTTCTCCTTAACTTAAGCGCTAATTCACGCATTTCCTCTTCTCTTTCTTGTTGCTGTTGCTTCTCTCGTTCCGTTTTCTCAATTTCGGCCTTTTTATCTGCTTTATCTGTAATGTACATCAAAACATTAGTTATTGTTCTTTTTAGTAATGAATATAAAATTGGTGTCACTCTACACTGGCTTACATTGCTTATTAAGCAAATTTTGCATTTTACGTTTGAGACGCTCACGCAAATTTAATCGTCCACCTCCAAAGGAACCCTGCAAGAAATCGTTCAAACTCATTTAGAATTGCTCAAGAATGTATGAAATTAAATCGTCCTATTAGTCCGCATATAAAACCATACAAAAAGAAAATGTCAAAATAAATTAAAAGAGCAGAAAAAATTAGTTTAGAATTGAGGTTTGAAAATCAAATCACGTCAAAAAGTTCATTCGAGGATTTCAAAATAAATGTGAATCGTTTGTTGGGATTTGGAGTCGTTAATTTCGCTATTTATACGATGTCCACTTTTTGTGTTGTTGTGAGGCAGTAAAATAGTTCTGTGGTTCTTACTGACTTTGATTTCGAAAGCATTACTATGTGACGATACATTGGACGAAATTGTGCTATATTTGCCTGCTGACTTATCCGCCGTTTGCACTATGTTCGACATCAGAGGATTTGATTTTTCAGAGCTAAAAAAAAAAAAAACCATTATTCATTTAAAATTCTGTGAAATGAACTTTTAAGGCTAAAAAGGTGGCTCAACTTTACCACAAACATCTAAGTCCTCGATTCACTTACGTAGTGTCTATATCTAACGATTCGGGGCAATCTTGGCTTTTTTCAATATTACTACATCTTTCTTTATTAGAATCCGAATCAGACATCGACGAAGATGAATACTGGTCACGTTTACGTCCATAATAGCGCTTTAAGGGGGGCGGTGGAGGCACGATAATCTCTATTGCTGGCTCGGAGGGAACTGTAGTAGCTGTTAACTCCGTAAATGTTGATATATTCTTCGCGCACGTTACCACTGGCTTCTGAGTCACAGCCTCAGGTTGTGGAGCATTTACGTCCGGTTTATTCTTTACTGGAGATTTTTTCCATGATACAGCTTTACTTCTTTCAGTACTACGTGATGTTCTTTTAATACGTGATTTAGGCATTTGCAAAAGTCTTTCTTTTTGACATCTGATTGATCTTGAACTAGATCTCGAACGTAATGTGGTCGTAGAATCGCTAGATGAAGAACGATTATGGTAGCGTCTTTGCCTAGATCTAGATCGCGTTCTCGATCTTGCATGCATGTTTCGACCTCTCTTTGGCATGATCCTACTTCTAGATTTCGATCGTGTACGTGAGCGCAGTTTATTGCGGGATCGCGACCTTCTATTGTCTCTACGAAGTTTTCGGCGTGTATAACTGCTAGAACTTGATCTCTGAGAAGATCTACAAGATCGAGTATAACTGCGACTTCGACTTCCATCCCGCCGCCGAGGATTTTTTGAACTTTCAGTAAGAATTTTCAGCTTTTCTAAATTCTCTTTTACTTTATCAGCGTAAGTAGCACGGCTATGGCCTAACGAAGTGCTAGCCTCGGTCCCTCCGCCGGAAGAGCTTAAGGCAAGTGATTTCTTAGGCAAGTTAATGGATATTTTGGAATGCGGTTGCAACTCATCTTCACCACCAAAAGAAGTGATATAAGTTATTTTTTCCGTAGTATCAACAGGAGAAGGTGATCGAGAATCGCTTTCTTCGGTCTTTTCGGTTTTATCTTCCTTGGCTGCATAACTAGGAGGACTAAATGGTCGATTTGCTATACGTCGTTCTTTTTGCGCTTTTCTTTCTCTACGGGATTTGCGTCCACTTAGCAACATTTTCTCCCGTTGTTCTTCCCGAGCTATACGCAAAGCATCTGCCTCGTCCATGTCCTTCGTGAGATAAGAGTAGAAATCGTTACTAAGCATTCCATAGTTACGACCACAAGCGTTTAACTCATGAGCCTGTGATGTATCCAATTTAGTTATGTCTATAGAGACGTCCATATCTATATCAGAATCTGATTCTGTTTCAGAATCGTTGTCAGTCTTTTTCAAGCTCCCGCCTACATGCGAACTGGTACCGCCAACAGGATGATGTAAATGACTGAAAAGTTGAGTTTCACTTATGTTGTCCCCAGCATCGTCATATGAATATCCAATCGCAGCACCCGATTTTTGAGTTTTTTTTTTGCCTTGGGCGGCTTGACTCTCAGGTGTTGCATTAGCACCAAATTGCTCTTCAAGAAAAAGTTGGTGTAAAAATTTATCTTCGGTGATATTAAGGAAATCATTCTGTGCCAGAATTCTATAGCGTTCATAATTGCATTGACGTTCTTCTTGAGTTAGTTCTGCGTGGTTGTCTGAAGTCCTCGCAACTGGTGATATGTAGTCCAAATGAGCTCTTACGTCAAAACGGTCGATGAGATTGTCTTGCTGCCCTTGCCATGGGACTCTATAAAGAAGAAAATAAATCTTTAGAAAAAATTGTCAATTAGCTTAAAGGTGATAAAAAAAAACAAGAAAGACGACTCTATAAATCCAAGAATACCGAGAGGTTGCGCAAATTTTTTTTATATTTAAAAAAATTATATAAAGGAATAAATTCTTGTTTTGTAAAGACAATCTCATAAATCAATATCACTTGCATTATAGCGGCTCCGTCGCCGGCAGCCGCTACTCCAGGATCCAAGTGTATCTTGCACCGTCTACCATGAATCTGGATAAACTGTGTCGGATCTGCTTGCTATAAGAAAAAAAAAAGAAAAACAATCAACAACAAGAAGGCTTCATTAGGATGTAAGAGCCGCCGAAAAACTTACAATTTTCTCATAAAAGTCTTGCCGCCGTTCGGCACGACGCCTGTAAGAATTTATTTTACTGTTACCATTGAATGTTAAGCGGAGATATACGAAATCCATACCTGTAGTCAACAATAAGGCCGCGTATACGACGTTCCTGTTTGCGAGCTTCATGCCACATTTCTCATATGTAAATTATTTCTTATTAAAAGCTATACGGTAAGAAATGTCATGTCCCCTTTAAAAAATATTCTTCAATGGAGAACGTTATATTATACAATGCATGCGCTTAAGAAGAACGCAAAGCATTCGTTTGGTGTCATTTTCCAATATGGCGTCAATAAATTTCCTTTTCGGTCTTGTTTTCTGCTTCTTTTTTCTTTACTCTTTGATTTATGTACTTTTCTACTCTACGTTAAATATATATACTTAAAAATGCAAGCCTGCAATTTATTTTACCAAGAAAAGATAGATCGAAATTTTATTGTATTGGCGCCCTTTAATTCTTAAGTAAATTTGTACAATTATTTATGACTTATAGAGATGTTTATTTTCAACGTATTTTGTAATTAGACATAGCAGAAACAATGACATGGAAACATAGCATAGCAAGATAGGTAAGAAGCGCCAAGTCCACATACAGAGTTGCAATAATAGTGAAAATGTATTCTTTGTAATTCACAGTGTCAATTGCCAATATTGTTTATATGCCAAGAAATGTCAAAAAAAAGAACAGTCTGTACACATTTGGTCTTTCAATATCTTTTCATTAATGAATTTCAAATATTCTCGGGGTTGTTTATGTAGGAGCATTCATCATAAAATATATTATCATTCATTCTAGTCGCTATTATTATGGAAGAAGGGAATTGCGAAAATAATTCGCAGACTAGTGGCCCAGCAAGAAATTCGGTTATTGAGCAAAATAATGTGAATGAAGAAGAAAAAGCCGGCAATTGTTATTGGTAAACACACACAAACAAATCATAATGTATACATAAATGTTTAACTAAAATTCTAAATTTAAACTAGCGGTAAAGATCGCAATTTGAATATCATTGAATTGCTTTGCATTAACTGCAGATCATGGATCCATGAATCGTGCATCGGCTATCAATTGGGAAGGCTTGTACCGCTTATCAGCAATTATATTTTTCTGTGCAAAAATTGTTCTCATAACGGTTTAGAAAACTTTAGAAGAAGCCAAGCTAGTATAAACAAAAATTCTTATATAGAAATAAAGCATTATTTAAAAAATATTACGTTTCAGCTATACAGCAGATGTGCCAGACTGCCATAGCTAATTTACAGCAAAACTCAATAAAAGATGGGAGAGCGAAAATTATATTTAGCAAGGATAAGGAAATAATTCCCTTTATTGAACAAAATTGGGAGAGTATGACTACTATGCCGAGGAGGGTTACACAATCATGGTAACGTATACCACAAACATTATGAAGGTTTCAATAGTGAAAGTACAATTAACAACTAAGGTGTCTGTTATGCTACTTTATTGTTTAAGGAAAATAATATGAAGAAAAAGTACTCTGTCTGTGAATGCTGAAATATTTACAAAAAGAAAAACGAATGTTGTAGGATTATAGTGTGCACGTAATATCTATATTTCCCATATGATATGAAAGTTTAGGCGTGTAAGAATTTATCAAAAGTGTACTGCATGGAAAAGACTTAAATAACTTTTAAAAATTATGGTTTTTATCAACGAAATCAATTACTATTTCTTTGGCAGGGCATTAATTTGAATTTTCTTTTAGGTATTCCACAGTTCAACGCTCCTTATTAAAAGATGTTAAAACTCTTTTCACATATGAAGAGAATGCCGATGATGGGCTCATGTTTGGTTTAGTTTCTCAAGATTTAAGACAGATTAAACCGAACTATGAGTCGATTGGAAAAGGCTGCGCTCTTAGATTTGCCGGGGATGGGTATGCTCAAGGTAATTAATAACGCTTTATGTGAAATTTAGTTTAATTTCATTGAAGTCCGTCCGTATACAATTATGAGGCTGGGGCTTGTCGGGATAATATACTGATGTTATGGTGTTATGTCATGTTTTTTATACTATCAACTATTAATGAAATATGTGTCGTTTTATATGTACTTTTAAAAGTTCGGAAATTCGGCAGCCGCAAATGGGCCAATTCATAAATTAAATTAAGTTAACTTTCACCAAAAACCTTTTTAAAGGTTATTAACGGGGACGATATCAGTATATGGCCTTCGCAAATAGTGAAGTATATTCTGTATGCAATATGGTGTAATAAATAAAAAAACTGATATATGTTTTATGCTAAGGCGAATTTAGGCGAACGACTACCATCAAAAGCTAAGAAATGATCGCAAAGTACTTCACTAATTGCCGGCATATCAGATTTCTAATCGCAGCAAGTTCTGTATCGGTATCGCTTAAGTATTATAAGCTTTTTTGGCCATTGCCAATATGGGCGAGAAGGAGTTGAGAATTATTTGATACAATCTTATATTTGATTTAAACCTTAGCTTTCCAACCCAAATTTTTGCTCTGGTTACAAAATAAGCAAGAGACAGACGCACATGTCAAAGTCGACACAAAATTTTATGGCTTATCAAATTTTCCACCTGTACTTCCAAAAGTTAAGAGTTAAACGTACAAATCTGCTGCATTCACTTGCGTTGGTGTATATGAAATTTCATAAGTTTTAAATTTTAGTATAAATTTTTTATTACTTTCGAATGCTTCTTAAAGTGAGCAATAAGCAATTTAGATAATTGATTTTCAAGACCGTGTCTTATAAGCGATCACTTATATTATTCCATGCTCTCTTAAGGTATTTACTGCTTTTCAATCCGATATTCTATGGAAGTCAGTATATAGAAGAGTTGCCAATTTTAAAGTGTTGCACATCTCCACATTGCTATTATCAGCTTTTTATATATTCTATGGTAAATTTAATTAGAATTACAGCTGTTGCAGTAAAGTGGCGAGTGGTCAACATGTACAATAACCCCCCATCGCAACGAATTCGCATTGTGTTGTTAACATAGAAAGTGTACAGTGCTTATTGTTGAAGCTTGATTGTTGCCATAATTGTGCGACAATTTACAAAAATTTTCACATATTTTTATGGATGCAACCATTTTGTCTAATTGTTATTCTATGGAGCTTTATGTAAAGATCAAATACGATATATAGTTTTTTTTTTGCAATTTTTGACGAGTTTTTATTTTAACTACAATTTTTTGTACCTGAATGAAAATGGAAAATAAATCTACGCGCGACGAAGAACGTATGTATTTATCACAAACGTCACTTATAAATAAGCGTGGACGGAAATGACAAACTTGAGATATATGCTTCATAAGACTGTAGAGCATCCGGCGTACATTTCTGTTGATTTCTGCTTTTTCTTTTTTTTTTTTGTAAATATTGAATCTCTCGTTTTAGCTAATCTTTCGAAAAATAGTCGACAGAATAAGAGAAAGTTTCTAAGTTCAGATACAGGCCCAACAGGTAAAAAAGGGCGCCCAAGCTCTGATATAACAGCCGTCAAACTACCGGCACATGGTTACCCGTTGGAGCATCCCTTTAATAAAGACGGTTATCGTTACATATTAGCAGAACCCGATCCTCATGCCCCTTTTCGTCAAGAGTTCGATGAGTCTGCCGATTGGGCCGGTAAACCAATACCTGGTTGGCTGTATCGTACTTTGGTTCCAAACAATGTGTTGTTAGCATTGCATGATCGGGCTCCACAATTAAAAATATCCGAGGATCGCCTAGCGGTAACCGGCGAGAAGGGCTACTGTATGGTCCGAGCCACACATTGTAAGCATTCTCATTTTTCTCCTGCATTAGAAAAGAAAATTCGCAGCATAAATTAAATGACTATACTTTTTTTTGTAGCTGTAAATCGGGGGTGTTGGTATTTTGAAGTAACAATTGAAGAGCTCCCGGAGGGTTCGGCAACTCGCATAGGTTGGGGTCAGGAGTATGGAAATCTTCAAGCTCCTTTAGGTTATGATAAGTTTGGGTATTCCTGGCGTTCTCGTAAAGGTACACGATTTAGCGAGAGCTCTGGGAAACACTACAGTGATTCTTACGTCGAGGGTGACATTTTGGGATTCTTAATCGATTTGCCGGAAGAAAAAGGTGTAAACTATCTGCCGAATACTTTCAAAGATCGAGTAAGCAGTAAAAGTCTCATATTGTTGTACTTACTTATGCGGACCAATTTCAGCCTCTAGTGAAATTCAAATCTCACCTGTATTATGAGGATAAAGATAACGTTCAAGAGACTTCAGACAATTTAAATGTTCTTCGGGGCAGTAAAATAGAATTTTTTAAAAACGGTCAATCGCAGGGCATTGCTTTCACCGATATATATGCTGGCTCATATTATCCTTCCATATCTATACATAGAAATGCCACAGTTAGTATAAATTTTGGACCCAACTTTAAAAACTCAAATGCACTGTCTAAGCATAGAGCCAAAGGAGTGAGATTAATCATCGCACTTACGCTTGATAACTTTTTAATTAAGTCTAATTTCTTTCAGATGTTTGAACGTGTCGAAGAATTGATATCGGAACAAGTCTTTTCAGATTTGTTATATCTAACTGAAAATGAAGGAAGATTACGTTTGGATAATTTTAATGTGTAATATTTTATGTGTAATGATAACTCCGTCTGAAGCACTAAGAGTTTGTTAGTGTATCACGCCTTTCTACCAAAAGAAAGCACAAATGAAACAAAGTATTTCATTAGTTCTTTACAACATTGAAAAAGCAATATCGGTATTAAACGTTGCCGACATAGAGTGCTTTGAAAGAAAGTAAAGTTTTCCGAATATAAAAGCAAAATATATAAGCGACAAATCAAATGACGGAACGCACTCCTTCTTGTAAATGATTATATGTGTATTTGCCTTCTAAAAAAAAAGAAAATAGTTGTTTTACTTTGTATACGCATTTTTCTTTTTTTTCTTTTTTTCTTTTTTTGTTAAACAATAAAAAGATAAAGAAATCAGAAAATTCGTCGAAGATTATTCGTGTTAATATGCTTATTTGCTCAATAAATGTTATCATTAACAATATAAGAGCGATCTCGAAATATATCTGACCAGAAACATAATTATAAAAATATCACATAATCATATTGGACCAGTGGAGGAAGGTAGAAGAAAATGTTTCGAAAAGAATTAATTTACGATATTATTGCTGAGAGATAGTTGAAGGCCTAATTTCAAAATTATCAAAAAATATGTATCCTACTCATATATATATATATGTTTGGCTTTGTCCGGAAATGTGTATGGAAAAATTCTGCTTAAACTGTTTTATAAAAATACTTTATTATTTTGCTAAAAAGTAATTTATACTTAGCTATTTAAAAGTTTTGAATTTGTAGGCACTATATGGCAAGTATAAGCCATTAAAGGACGGTTTCAGATATTGAGAAGCTGCCGAAGCTGATCGTAAGGAGCTCGATGAATTTGATTGGCTTGAAGATGGTATTGGAAATCTTGATAATATATGATTTCGTGTATGAGAGCTCTGAGAATGGTAATTAAAATTCGGTGTGAATGACTTAACATTTGCTGATGATTTATTAAGACTAAAGGCCAGTCCATCTCTATCCGTTGTAGTTGTAGGCTTACTAATACATTGTTGAACTTCTTTTTGTTGTATAGTTGAAATGGTAGGTAGTATAAGAGAATTTCGTTTACTGAAAAAACGGTTCGCTAATAACGGCATGTGCCAAGCTGAGTGACGTGTGTGATTGCCTCTAATTTCTTCGTTTTGTCTTATTATAGCTGATTGTGCATGATTTACTTGAGTCAGTTGTACGAAACTCTGATTTTTATTTTTAGCTAATTTTCGAAATCTGCATGTACTCTCTAACACATTTAAAATAGGAGGCATTCGCAAATGATTTCGCCCAGCAGGAGAAGCAGGTGTCCTTTTCGAATATGCCGGCTGATTATTATAAGGCTTCCTGATATTTTCACGTTGAGTATAAGGCACCGCATTTAATGTAAAGTCTTCAAACAATTTCAAAATATTAATGTCTTCTGAAGATGCTCCATACAAAGGCGAAGGAGTGAAGCTTAGATCTTCAGCTTCAGAAGAATATTCCTGAATGCATTGCCCTCCTTTTACTTTATAGTCATCCTCTTCATCCGAAATTAATTTTAGAGTAGCGACAGATTCGGCGCTGGTAGCGTCAGCCCCAAGCTGGCATAAATTCCCTTCTCTTATGCCAGACACAAAATGTGGAAATTTTCTTTGCCAATCCGAAATCTCATTGCGCAAATCTTCATCACCTGTCACTTCCTCAACACCTCTGAGCATTCTTTCAATTTTTTCCCATTCTAAACTATTGAGTTTTATAGCATCATCAGTCCAAGGAATGGAATCTACAGAACTACGATCGAAACTGCTGGATGTGTAATCGTCTTCATCCTTTTCTGGATTACTTGAAGTTTCAAGATCCTCAAAGCTTGTGGAATAAATAAATTTTGATTTTGTATAAAATTGTCGCCTCATGCCCGCTAACTTAAACCCACGTCGAATAATACTTTTAATGGTTTAGCTCAATAAAGCAGTCCAACTTCTATTTTCTTTGATTCACGCCACAGACAGATTATTTATTTATTTATTTATTTATATACATTTTTTTTTTTTTTTTTTTTTGCAGTGTATATCGAACCGTCAAGCACAAAATTGTGTTCTGCGAAGACAACCATGCTTACCGTTGATTATTATTGATAGGAATAAAGAAAATTGAAATTATTTTCATCTTCAGCATTTTAAAAACATTGAAATACATCGCTTTAATCCGAATGCGTTTCAGTGTTCCAAATAATTCCAATTGATTCAGTAGCCGTTTAATGAAATTCTTAAGGCGTGACACGTCGTCGTAGACAAATTTAAAAAAAATCGACTATCAATGAATGATATGATAATGTTAATAGCGTGAAAACAACTTTTCCAAGTTATTGGAATTATCCAACGCTTATTATTAGAAATACTCTAAATTTTGAACAAAATCTCCTATTTATAAGAAGCGCACGATTTTTCTTAAAGCTTTAAAGTAATTTATGTGACACTCCATACATCCCTGTGAAAATATGTTTAAAAGAACATTCAAAAATTACTGCATAGAATATTGAGTTGAAAAGTTTTCATAACAATTTTTCTTCTCATAGAGGTTTCACAATTGTTAGTCCCATCTTGAGCGGATTCGATTGAAAATGGAACAATTTCTAGGACTTTGCCATTATAAATTTGTTTGAAAACTTAACTGAGATGGTTGAAAATTTTCGCGCAGGGATTAAACGTTCCGATAATATTTTCTTTTCATTTGTTCCAAGTCTTTATGGAGTTAATTGGATGGTTAATTTCACTGCTTAATCTACTCAGCGATGTTTATTATTATTTGCAAAGTTTGGGCGGGCTATTCAGTATTTTGTGTTCGTCGATATCGTACAATTGTTATTGTTAGAAACATAACATGGATCGTTCAATAATTGCACCTTATCGGGCAGAAGAAAAGGAATTATGTATAATACTCTATCAAAAATTGTTGGGTTTAACATTATTGTATCCGGGTAGTGAAGATGTACGCAAATGTTTGTCTGATGAAATGTTTCTTAAGGTTAATCAACATGCTTTCTTTGAAATCATGTCATACTTATTTCGAGTTTTCGATGCTGCAGAATTCAAGAAACGATTCTTTTGGCCAATCACAGACAAAAAATCGGAAGCGATCTTTCGCACAAGCACTGTTGATTACTTAAAATTCATAAACGAAAAATACCAATTAAATTGGAGTGGCATTAAATCGTATTTAGTGGTGATGCCAGGTGGAGTGAAATTCATTAAATTTTTGCTGGGATTCATAAATTTCATTACCAGCGAATTGATTAAACAGAAAGAGAAATACTTATGTGTAAACTTGGATGTACCCAAACAAAATATGGCCAAAGCCGATATAGGAACTCTTATTAAAAAGGATATTTTCTTTAAAGAATACGTATCGGCCTATCTAAAGACTGCTAGCGAAGTCAATGATATATTGGCCAAGAAGAGTAGTCTCATTCATAAGCAATTGGATCTATTAGCAACCGAGACAGGGTGCAGTGTGGAAATCCTGTTAAGTGAAAATTTTCTGCAAAAATTTCAAGCCAATGTACAGTTGCTATACGAAGCGAAATTCAGCACTAAACGTTCTAATGTATTAAAAATGCAAGAAAGGATTTCGGAAGCTTATCAAGTTTTTGAACAGTTTCATTCTAAAGAAAGAACCTCTAAAAAAAATACGGAATGTTTGTATGAACAATTGCCTGGTGAAATACCAGAATTCAAACTGGCAAATGGTAAGCACAAAATGTAGACGGATATAATAATTTACAGTGCAATAATATAATTTTCCGTAGCTGCAAAAATTGAAGATGAAATCAATATCAACGATTTGATTTCTAAGTACAATTGTATGCATGAATCTATCCAATTGCAATTGTCTCATTTTCACAACGCACCATATCCGACAGAAGCAACCGTAAATAAGTTAAATGGTTTGCAGCACGAATTACTGCAAATGGGATCCCATCTCACAGAATTCCAGAAAAAGATCAACTATGGCAAAAAGAAACCTAGCACCCCCACGCCCACGAATTATAACTTAACCAAACCTAATATGGAAAGCAATTTGCTACCAATGCTTGTATGCACTCCGCCTATAAGACTTGATGTACCCGACAATTGCGGGAAGCTTCGTCTCTCTCTTTTTGATGCCAAGGGGCATTGCAATAATGAAAACTTCGACAGTTATATAGGTTTGTATGTAAAATTGCAGTGCATCTCGAATATAAATTTATATTTGTCATAAGATTGCTCATCACATAGCAATCAATTATTATCTGACATTATACAATGCAGTCCACCAAAATTACTTTATATTGCAGCAAAACGACGTTGAAGAAATAAGAAGTTGTCAGTAATATTGAATAGGTCGCAGGACCAATTTCAGGTCAATTATTTTGGAATCATATTAAAATTAGGAGCTCCATTACGGAGGATTATTACGCGTGATAAGTTATATTCAATTTATTGGATTAAAACATATATTCAGCTTCAGAAATTGAAATGCAAAATGCTTCGCATCAGCTACTAATTAACATGTGTGATTATCCGGTTTAATATTTATTGCAAGACCCAAATGTATTTATTAATCTACTACAAGTTTTTGATGAAGGGAAACGTGCCGTACACTTTTGGAATTTTTACCCCAGCTTTTTTGCATGAGTATAACAAGGAGTTGCCAATGTCATTCACTGGCGACATCTTCGGCATCGTGCACAGCCAAACTTATAGATTTACATGAACTAAACATATCGATTTTGATAGCTGTACCACCTCACTTGTCATACTTATGTCGACAGAATCTGTAAAATAACGCCATCATATCATTGTATTAAACCCTTTTTGTCATTTTCGTCAATTTAATTTCAAATACTTACTATGTAGGAAATGTTTCTCCTCACAATTTTGAATGTCATGTGGCGACGTTACATTAGTAATATTCATTGCAAGTAGAGTGATAATAGAAAAACCAAATTAATTTAGGAAAATTTACTAATTTATTTATAATAACTGCTTAAAAATTTAGATATTTCTTAATTAATTCGAACAGGGAATATGTATACAATATAATATATACAGGAAGATCTTATGCCGTGCATATGAAAGGAAATCTTGTAGGTATTTAAACATATTTCTCTTCGCCTGATTAACATAATGCAAACAATTTGTTTCGTTTGTATCTATACAGTGCAGAGCGAAAAACAAAAGAAGTCAATATCCACAAACTGTTTTTTACAACAAGAATGCGGTGACCTAAGGTCAATACGGTTTTTACATATTTCTCTTGATTTTTCGATTTATTTAGTTATATTCTCCCGATTTCGCAACGATTGTGAAGATCTTTGCATATATGTTTTAGCAGATATATATTTAAAATCACTGAATTTCTACATGTAAAATAATATATATATATATATATGTACATATATATATCTAGGACCATCGAGATTGGCGCATCAAGATGATAATTCAGAAGATAATTTGGAAAACTGCAAAAAGAATTTTGTGAACACATCAACAATCATTGATCCTGTAAAGTTATTAAAATCAATCAACAGAGAACCGTCAAAATATAAAAGGGTTTTGCAAATAGATGATCACTCGTTCAGAAATGACTTGAAACATTGGATATCATCGCCCCATAAAGTACATGACGAAAAAGCTAGCCCTGGTGTAGACGTGATGCTGAAAAGTGAAGAAAGTTCAGAAAGTACTGCGCTGGAAATAGAAAATGTTGCTAAATCGCTTGAAAGCTCACCATATACACCATTAAATACGAAAAATTGCACACGCGTAGACAAATTGCATTTTTGTGAAAGTAATAGTGATGGTGCCAGAAATTTGGCGTATTTTAAAAAGTTGTCTGCTATCAAAAAGGTGCAGAATGCTTCAATGAATATTGATAACATAAGCACAAGTCCGTCGGGGCGCTTAGAACCCTTGGTAACGATGGATGTTGTAAATCCTTCGTTACCCAAGATCGTGGTAAACGATGTAACAGTTAACGAGGAATTGGTAAGTAAAAACTATGCACACAAATTTTGCTTAATTGTGTGGAGAGTTTTATGCAAACAAAGTTCCTTATTTTCCGTATATTTCATAAATAAATTTACAAAGTGTGGACGAAATGCGCCTGTGCGCGTTAAGTAGCGAAAATAAGCTAATAATTGCTGGAGTATAGAAAAAAACTAGTAAAAATAGACAAATTTGAGGTAAAAAATTAACTATAATCTAGATACCAAGAGTATTGTGTTTTCGAAGAGATAGAGGAATTCTTGGAATCATGAATCAAGCAACCTCTCAAGGGTAATTTTGTGCTAAAAGACATTCGGAAAAATTATGGCCGACGGAAAGCGAGATATTTACAAGAGACGATATATTTGCATGGGAGATTCAGTTCATTCATAATAATGTTTAATATTCAATGAGGCCTTATTTACTCTAAAGCGGCCGTTTCATATAGATTTAAGATTTCTACTTTCTAACTATCGACAATGTACAGTCTCAACATTTAATTTTAAAATATAAAATTAATGTGGCTCTTTGCTGATTTGTTAACGAATATTTAGTAACAGTTGAGAAGAATATTTATTTTGTGTTGTTAGTTGGTATAAAGAATTGTCGTTACTAATACGTATGTATACTTGACGTTTTTCCTAGAAACTCAACGAAGAAGCAGAGGGTGCGAGCACATCAACTGGCGGGACTCTCAATAATGTAAATAGCCCCAATAGCAGTTTATCTGAGGTGGAAAAGGCACGTCTTAGTTTAAATGATTGTGATGTTAACGACATTTTGTTTAATACTAGCGATAGTGTTCTGAAAGATGTTAGTATGTAACTTTTTTCAAAATATATATTCATTACGATTTATTACACAATTACTTTAAGAACATTAAAAGCTTTTTAACAAACACAGTTTCGCATTTACATTTCAGTTTTAAAAAATGATGATCTTTGCCTGCATTTCTCATTCTCGTTTAAAGTCGTCTGTATATTGAGGGGCTTTTTAAATGGATTTAATTTTGGTTTTTCATTTAATTGTAAGCTGTCGAGAGATTTTTTATAGGTTAACAAATTCATTGTATATTCCCGCTGGGCATAATAGATATCATCGTAGGTAGACGCTGCTATAGGTGGCGCTGCTGTTGATGAATGTCCATTTTCATCGCCATTGCCCTTTTTCACAGTTTTGGCCGCGGGAATGTCAGCTTTAGTGATCATTTGTCGCAATTCCTTCTCAATAACGTCAGTATTTATTTTAAATTTTCGTGCTTCCAAATGACGAGTTTTTGGAATATTCTGTAGCATACAGTTTAGGCGTTCTTCAAGCGTGGTTATGCGTTGTTCCAATATTTGAAAGTTCTCTACAATTAATTTGTTCTTATCGCTCTCATTCATCATTTCTAGAGTAACTTCTATTTCTTGATTAATATCGGCATCACTTTCGTGTGTTGATTTTGTTTCTTGCTCTTGCACAATTGTTACCTTTTCCTTAAGGCATTTTTCAATTAGTTCGTCAATTTCCTCTTTGCGTATAAACTTATCGGGAATGGAGAGCTCATGCAATATATTTTGTACTTCTTCTCTTACCAAACTAGTTATAGACAGTGTATTATAAAAATGTTGTTCCGGGATGCTCGTACTGCACCGTGAAGCGTTGAAATCCATCATAACCTTATGTATTTCTGGTGTAAGAGGTATTAAACGTTGTCTGGTTCGATTTGGTATTACTTGGTGACTTATTCGTAAGGATATGCAGCTTTCCATAAACTACTTACTTGAAAAAATTTTTATTTATTTTCCACTAAAAATTTTGCTGCATTAAAAAAAAAAAAAATTAAATAATAAGTGAAGGCTTTTATATCTCTTGATAATAAAATCAGAGAACTATTGTTTTACTGATATCTATGTCAAATAAATAATATCGAAAGAAAGAGGGTTTCTACTTCTGCTCCTTTTATTCAGAAAATTAACAACTGAAAATTTGCTGGGATGTGTAAAAAAGGCTCATGCGAACGCAGAGTTAGATTTGGTATATGATATTATTATTTATTTATTTTAGTGATTATTTGGTTAAAGTTTTTTTTTTTAATTCTGCGTGTTATACGTCTGCCACGTTCTTTTTCCATCTTGTCTTTGGGCTGGAAAATTATTCAAACCTATGTGGTGATATTTAAAAAGCAAGCGATTCAAAAAACGGATCGTCTAACCGATAAAAGGCAAAAGATTACAGATAATAATGGCGATTTCTCTTTTAATTATTAACTGTAGTTAACAACGCGTATCTTTTCAATAAAGCTCGAGGGTAATCACTGGGAAAAATGTAACTATCGCTGTTGTATTTAGTTTTTCGGCAAAAACGTATGAAATCTTAAAATAAAAAATTAAATTATTTTAGCGTTTAGGATTAGATTAGGAACGACCCAAGGATCTGTAAAGTCAAGTGATGAATATATAGAGAGAGAGCGAGCTTCAATTTTAATAAGTGCATGTAGTGTTCTATTTTCGTATGATTCCGCCCTGTGATTTCTTTAACGGAGTGCAAGACTTGTTATATTCTGACGATTGCACTGATGTCTTAATGAAAAATTGATAGAAATAGGAGAACTATTAGCAGTACGTTTAAATATATTGAATATTCTGTAAGTGCAAAATATTGTATTAATCATTTTAAAATTCGCGATATAAGCTCCTTTGTGCTAAATCCATTTGGGCTTTTCAAAAAAAGAAAAATATATATATACATATATATAATTTTCAAAGTGAAATTAATCGACATATGCAATATACTAATCCATATCGATTTTTGGGAAATAAAGTATGTAAATGAATTCTTCTAGTCATTGTAAATTGCTGTTGCCTTCCATATAAACAATACGTACGTATTTTGTAAATTGTTTTGCTTGTTTGCTGCGAATAAACATATGGCTTAACTTTTATATAGAAAATCAAATGCAATTTCCTTGTAAAAGTTGTAAAAGTGAAGAAAATCTGTAGTTTAATGAAAGCATAATCAATAATATATGTGGATTTTTTTAAAAAGTTTCCAAAATTAAAAAAAAAATATTTGCATTTCTGCGCAGCGATTGTTACGGTTTTCGGATTCTTTTCGAATTGATTGCGACTTTCACAAATCGCCTATATAGAAAGTGAGTACAGTGCTTAGATTACAATACCTGAATAGTAAAAGGAAGTACAATTACAAAAAAGAAAGTATAAATGCCAAATCCAAATATTCCCTCAAACATATCTTTGATATACACTATCTCAAATCAATCAATGGCTTGCGCTTGCAAACTTCATTATTATATGTGGGCGTATCGATTGATGCATTGGAATAATTTGTTATTGTTATTTTTCTGAAATTGTGCGAACATAGGACAGGTCACTGTTATTTCTTCACATAATTTATGGTCATATATGTAGTCAGTCTTAATATATCTAGGCAAGAGGAAAAGTTAAAAGTAGCAGTATTTTACTTAGTGGTAAAGCGATTATATAGGTAGATCATTATTATTTCGTAATTCGACTTATGACATCATATGTAAAGTCCCTTTAATTTTTCCTACGATGGGCTTATACTATGATTGCCACAACGGCTGACGGACGGACAATTAGATGGACAGAGAGTTTAGCGAGTATTTCTGAGCTAAAAAAGTCAGTCTTCTGTTCATCGAATCTACGAACAGTAATCATTACTTTCTATTAATAAATTTGCTTTACACATCCATTTGCATTTTAAATTTATATAATATGTCCACTATGGAAACATATCTATATTTTCGCGAATATTTTTTAGATTGATACTTAAGATTGTCAAATATTAGAAGGCCGTTAGAATGGGTTCTCTGTTTCGTAGCGAGGAAATGGCCCTTTACCAGTTATTCCTTCAGAGTGAGGCAGCTTACGCATGCGTCTCAGAATTGGGGGAATTAGGTTTGGTGCAATTTAGAGACGTAAGTCAAAATGCAAAGGAAAAGGAAAATATTAAGTAATTATATATATATAATAACAATTATCAGTTGAATCCTGATGTTAACGCTTTCCAACGTAAATTTGTGAATGAAGTGAGGCGTTGTGATGAGATGGAACGGAAGCTACGCTATTTGGAGAAAGAAATAAAAAAGGATAACATTCCAATGCAGGACACTGGAGAGAGTCCCGAAGCACCCCAACCGCGGGAAATGATCGATTTGGAGGTGGAGTCCAATAAATATACAATATATTATCAATTCATCTTCTATGTTTTAGGCCACATTTGAAAAACTTGAAAATGAATTACGCGAAGTTAATCAAAACGCCGAAGCTTTAAAACGGAACTATTTGGAGCTAACCGAATTAAAACATATTTTGCGTAAAACTCAAGTATTTTTTGACGAGGTAAGATAACGATATTTATGTTAAGTGGTAAATGTATCACTAACAACGAACATGTAAAAAAAAAAAATTGAATGTAACTAACCCCTTGGCAACACAACTCAGGTGCACTCCAGTTTTAGTTTCTCATCATTTCAGAAATGATTTGTATAATATATTTTGCTTTTTTAACTTAACACTATTTCTTTAATGTAACTTAAGCTTATCAAGGTGAATGTAGTAGTTTTATCGGCAAGACTGTTTTAGAATGATCACAAGTTTAAAGTGCACGCACATTGCACATTGCTATTAAAACAGACCTAAAGAGTTACATGTTTTAGATAAATTTGAAATAATTTCTTGTAAGTAAGTTCTGCTTTTGACTTACACATTTTCAAATTAAAGTTCAATTAATTCAAAGCATAAGAGCTTTAAATTTTCTTTTTGCTGAATTAACGTTCCGCTTAAATTTTGAATGATATATACACATATATAATATGTGGGTGAATAGGTGACATTTTTCTAAAAAGGCCAAATTGAATTTTGAAGTTTGACGATTTTACTAAGACCGTTTCCCATCAACTTATCAAATTTCAAATATTCGTTCCTTTGCATCGTACGAAAGCAATTTCTTACAAAGATGCTGACCAAATTACAAATTTTCTTAGCTTTTACAACCTCTATCACTTAAGAGGCAGTGTTCTGCTGAAGCCCTGTAACATGCACGTGATGTTTTATCGCAACTAGCATAAGGTAAACGACATCTTTCCCCATCTTTCTCTATCTTTCCCACATAAGAATAGAGTAGTAGTAGAATAGTAGAGTGTGAGAGAAACCGGACTGCTGTCGCTTGTTAAATGAAGAGATATACTTAGGATTAAGTTATGTTTGTTGTGCTGGTGAAAGTTGTAGCTAGTTAAAATCGACTTTATCTTTATCCCCCCCTTTTTTTTTTTTTTTTTTTTTTATTTATTTTTTAAAAAAATTTTTTTTTTTTTTTTTTTTTTTTTGTTTTAAAATTCTTAGTTTAATTTAATTGCAACATAAAATTAATATGAAATGAATAATGCACGTTTTTTTGTTTCTCTATTGTTATAAATTAAACTTTCTACATGCAAATTAAATTGATGTTGATGAAAAGCTTAACTTATTAGCCTACGTCTCTTGGTGCGAAATATCGCAAAACTCAAACTTTAACAAAGAACTATTTTAAAGTGTTTAGGCGGATTTAACGAACGAAAGGTTTTCGTTTAGAATTAAATCTTTTGATTGTTACGCTAAGATGTATATATATATGCATTTATTGCTATACACATCTATATTTGTATATGTATGTGTATGTCGAATATTTACAAATAAGAAACGTTTTCGATACAGTGCCGTCTTGCAACAATTAAAAAATACGCATGTGTTGCTTACACACAACACAATATTGCTTAGATAATTTAGCTCTTTCATCTATTCTGCGTAAAACTTTCTCACCTACATACAAAAAAATATATATATATTCGGTAAAAAAAAAAAGGAAAAGTTGTGAAAAGTAAGCACGGCGAGAGGCACTGCAGATAAGTTTAAAAAAAAAAAATAAATAATGGTTTTCTTACTTATGTATCACTGCTGGAAACCGATGCGCAAACTCTTGGTCCCCGTTTATAAATTGTGAGAAGTTGAACAAATAAAATTATTAATGTAGTTACTTGCTTAGTAATAATAAGAGATGAAGAATGCATTTTAATTTCATTCCCAATCTAATTTAAATTGATCTCATTGTTGAAGCCATTGTTCATTGGTTTACAGTGCATAACATTCAAAAATAAGTTCACGTTAAAGATCCAATAAAGTATTTATATTTTTTTGGCAGTTTGATCTACACAGCCGACTGCTGCTTGTCAGAAGCGCAAACAATGAATCCAGAAGCTAAAATTTAGCACAAATATCTTAAATAAAAGTCACGAAGTAGCGTAGCTTGTAACATATTGACATCAAAATTGATATATTAATCCCGCTGGGCCATCTAAAACAGTTGAACGAATTATTAAAACCTTCACAAAAGGACCAAATACTTCGACACATTTCTGCTCAAGGTATAATTTTCTTAGTTATTTTTTTATACAACACTCTCTTCTGAAGACTGAATGGAGCGCACATTACATTATTCGTTTTAATGCGAACATAGTCTTCTCATTTATACATAGATACATTTTAGCTTTGTGGTGCTTTAAACAAAATTATTTCATTGATTAAGGAGTTTTCTGTACTGGACAGAATTTATTGATTAGGCGCCATTATTTCCATATAAACAAACTCGACTTGACTAAATATCGTCTTTAAAAAGAAAGTTTAGCAAGTTTTTTGCATATTTTATATTCAATTTATATTAATTTTGGTTGATATTAATCAAAATTTATTGAAATTATCCCCGTCATATTTGCATTGATTATCTTAACATAAATAACAAATTGAGAAAATTATCCTGATACACTAGAGAGAGAGAGAGAGAGAGAGAGAGAGAGAGAGAAAGCAATCAACTCGGGTTTTTAGTAAAAAATATAAACAAATTTTCTTTTACATACGTAATAGAAGAAAATTTTCGTGCCTTTATTTTTCCAAAAAAAATTCACATCTTTTTTTATATTTTAAGATAAAATATGTAATATCATGTCATCACTGCACGACTTCTGGAATTTCCGCGCGAAAAGCTAAAGCAAATGATTATCGTAGATCTTTGTTCAAGTTAACTTTACACCATTAACCGGGGTCCTAAGGAAAAATATTAATTCGGAAAAAAGTTCTAAATTTCATTGAATACGTGGCACAAGAGAAAAAGAGGGGTTCCTTAGAGAGCCAAAAAAAAAAAAAAAAAAAAAAAATGGTAGTCTCTCTGGGTAAAATATCCCTGTTCTAGTCATTCGATCGGTACGTGAGGTGGTAATGCCTTGATGGAAGGCGACGCCTTTCCAATTAATCATTTCCTTATGTTTTATCACGCCTTATGGGTTAACATTAGAGAATAGAATCGATCACGACGATCCATGCCATTTCCACTCCGAGACTAGGTAACCTTAGGCTGCAATTTCGAATTTTCTCACGCACGTGCCAACCATTATTATCACTTCAGTCCATGTCATATTGTAAAATATGAAAAATTTCTTAGAAAATTGGTTTGGTGGAATTAACAAATATATAAAACATGTTTTTTAATTATCTACGGTGGTGGTGGAAAGGTGATATATTACCTTTGACATTTGTCATAGGATGATTGAATGGTTGATATTATCCCCCTATACACATACAAATAATTTCTGATAATCATATATCACATTTGCATTCTTTAAGTGCTTCGTGGAGAAAACCTCGCGGCACGAATCTGAAATTCGACTATATTCAAATTCTCGTTTTATTCCCGTTTTGTTTGAAATTTGCGTTTACGAATTCACTCCCTATGCGGCTTCGGATTTTTGATTTTGACTGCCATAATTTCTTCTTCTTATTTTGTCGATTAACACGTTAAGTAATATGTGCATTTTTCTTTCTATTTTCATGAATTATTTGAAAACTTTTTCTTTTCATACTGTTATCATAGTATGGTTTGTTAAACTTTACAGACTTTAACTTAATTTTTTTTTTTTTTTTTGTTTGTTACGATTCCTATCAAAGAGTGCCTTATATCTATCTCATGCCGTGAAGATTTTCAAGCGAGCTTTTATGTTAGAACCAATAACGATCGCAACAATTGCCCTATTCATATTCCCACGTAATAGCCTCAGTTTAATTTTATTCTATTATGTATTTATATTATCGTTAAATTAAAGAAGCACTTGCAAGTCAAGGTCATTTAAGTCCTAATAGGCCACAGACTTGCGTTTACGTTCCAGGTAACTGATGATATTTAATTATAGATAACTTGCATACAACATCGTGTACGTATATTAAATTGCTTGGAAAAAAGAAGAACTTGTATTAGATAGCTTGGACTGATGTTTTAAATATCCGCTTCTTCATTTCGATGAAACAAGGATTAAATATCAATAAGTGGGGACAATTTTTTGCATATGAATAAACTACGACATGAAATGAACATATTAAGAAGGACAAATTTCAAAGTAAATTTGACAAATTGAAGGAGCTTTCTGAGACGTAGTCTGGGAAAAAGTTGAAAATTATGAGTTTCTATAAAGTACAGTTGTAGAGCTTTTAAATAATTCGCGGCTATTCCTCGCCTCAACTTGTGAGGCTTAATCAAGCATATAGTAGTTACCGAGTTCCTATTTATTACTGTACCTGTTGGAGAATATGGAGAATGAGATAAAGGAAAAACAGATAAATAAATATTTTATTTAATTCATTAACTTATTCCTTCCTTCATATTATCATTTCCTATGATTTCTATGATTTTTTCCAAAAGTTTTTCTTTTGCTTTTTATCTCATTATTATTATTTTTATTTTTTTTTTGTTTTTTTGATTTTGTCATTTTCGGTTCGTATCTCAAACATCCCCAAAACCTTCGCGCCCTTATGCTTTTGCTTATGATTTTTACCAAAATGTGTGTACGTACGGAATCCCCGATATTTGTTTCTGTATCCTGGTGGTTGTGTTGCAAGTCGGTTCATACGATATCATACAATGCGACATCATATAAATCAAGGCGTTATCGACAGATGGCCGATAATCAAAATGAAGATGAACAAACTCAGCTATTGGGCGAAGATGGAGCAAAAATCAATCAGTCTGGGCAAAATCTCAAATTAGGGTAAATATCTAAAGTGAAATTTTGAAATTAATAAGTTTGTGCAAAAGATGAAAACATTGCTGAATTGAAAAACAGTAATAATTCAATGATCATTTTCTCCCAAATACATTCACAAATCATTCATTCATCCGTTCAATAATCTTATTGTGGAATAAAGTTTTTCGCTGCTTTATTATCCATCCATATATAATAATTCTGAAAACAAGATCTTAAAGTTCAGATCAAGTCATAGAAAGCAAAAATGCACATATGTCTTTTTCTTTTTTTTTTTCTCTTCTTTTTCCTCGGTATCGCATATATGTTAGAAAAAATACGATTATTATATTATATGAGAACTTTTTGTAAACTAAACTGATAGTGGTGGTGGTGATGGTTTCACAGAATAGACAAATTGTGTGCATGCTTTGATCTGTATCTGTATCTAAGCATGTGTGTGTATATATAAAAAAAAAAAAAAAAAAAATGAAAAGAGAATCGCCTTTTTCCACTACGGTGCATGAACAACTAATAAACAAATTAAACATATTATTAATTGGTTCAAAAAAAAAAAAAACAAGAGACGAAACAACATTCAAACAACAATTAAAAATTGTTTTTTTTAACTATATACGTTAAATAAATAGCAAGATGGTCGTCTTACAACCACAACAGAATCGATGACACGCGCTTTAGTTACGGATGAGGTTCGTACAGCCCACTATCTGGGTCCTGTACAATTAGGGTATGTATCCTAATTATTAAAAATTAAAAAAAAAAAAAAAAAAAATTTCTTTTTTTCAAAACTTTCAAATCGAATTTTCTATAAAATTATATGTTAAATAATGCATAAGTTTGATTTTAATAATATTTTGCTTTTTCAAAATGCGTCTCATTAGATTTATGGATAAATTAAATGATCGTGAAGAATACTTTCCATGGTTTGTACTTAACATTAATTTCGTTTCTATTTTTCATGTTTCCTAATTACGTCATCAAATTTTTAATAGAAGATTTTTTAATGTCCTCCTTTTAAAGTCCTCGTTTATCTCCTTTTCAATTCAATTCAATTTTTCGAAATTTGAATAGTAATTACGATTTTTTTTTTTTTTTTCTCCATTTATGACGCCTTCCTTAGCTTGAGCATTTTTAACAATGTGTCCACATTTCTAAAATAAGAGAAAAAATTTATAGAAAGCAAAAAATTTAGTTTTTTAGTATTATTTCAAATATCGGATTTGAAAGCACACTCGATACTCGAACGCGAATCCGCCTACAATAAGTGCCCGCAATAATTGTGAAATTTCTGAATTTAAAAATTCTAGTTTATCAATGAATAGACAACGAACAAAAAAAAAAATGTCTGAACGACTGAACAATCGACCGATGACATTAGTATTTAACGTGAACTAGTTAAATAAAATTTCCGAACGAATGTTTTAAATAATAAAACTTGTCCATAATTAGAAAATATATAATATGATAAACTATGTATTATTAATATATCGTTCGCTAGAAATATATACGCAATGGCGCATATTCATCACCGAAAGATGAAAGTATATTCGCTTTGTCAAAGCAAATTGAGAAAGAAGACTCAGAAAGCCTATAAGGTATATGTATTCTTAATCACCTAGGCAAGTCTGTACGTCTGTATGTGTGGCTTACTGCCAGTCGCAAAAAAAAAATTAATATATCATCTTCAAAGTCGCTGAAAAGCATTGGAAGCATTGGAAGTTCTTGCAGAGCAGACTGATATTAAAAATTGAGTAAAAAGTTTAAAGAATACGCATAGAGTACGAAATAAACTGAGAAAAGCAAATAATTTTAATATTTCCTGCTTATATTACTCTAAAGCAGCAGAAAATATTGTAATAAAAATTTCCACCTATATTCCATCGGTGATCTACAGTACTTGTAGAGAAATGGTACAAAGGGGCTACGCATAGGGTATCGAAATTTTAATATTGAATCGTTGCGGTTTTTTTTTTCTTTTTTGCATTGTTTTCTCTAATAAATGTAATGGGTATAGAAGATTCGGCCACACCCAAGTTATTTGAATGTTTATTTGGGTATTTGTTTTTATTCATTTGCTTGCATAAGTTCAGATAGAAAAATTAATTCTTTGTTGATCAAGTTAATGTTCAAATTTTCTAGTTTCGAAACGAATTTAATATGAAGGCTTTCGTATTCGCATTTATCTTTCGCTTTCCAAAATAAGAAGGCTTAGCTCTTAAGTTTAGTTTTCTTCCCTAATTGAAATATAGAAGCAAATCTAAGCTTTCTCTATAGAATTTTCTGAACTTACTTACCTTATATCACAGCAGAGTGCTTGTATCATATTTTACTTTGTACATATATTAAAGTGAACGAACGGACATTTTAAATAAATTTATATATATATATGTATCTAAATTTCCATCCGCTAAGGTTACTAAAAAGAATAAATAACGAGTTCCTTATACGAGATGAACAGGTTAAAATGATTGAAATTCTTGGTAATCGAATTACGTAATGAGATAAAATTACAAAACAAAAAACAAGTAAATAACATTATAGTGTGACAAGGCCCCCATATCACCCTACAGTTATACATATGACGACTTTTTGTAATAAGACTTTATATGGGAAATGATTTAGACAGTGATCCGATTCGAATCATTTTCAATAGCTTAGAGTATATATGTCAACGCACGTCCACAGTGTGCCAAATTTCATTAAAATATCTCAAAAATTGCGTAGGTTGCTGTAGGTTGAACACAAAACAAAGCAAGTCCGATAGGCAAACAAGCTTAGAACTTAATGCACCTTTGCAACCCCAAGTAGTAGTAGTAGTGTAGTGTAGGGTATACTAAATAATGCGTTACTTAATATTAAATCGTTTGTAAACTTCGGATCCGGGCCGAATGTATTAAGCGCGATCGTTGTCCGTTAAATATCTCAATTAACTGAAGCTGTTCACTGTCTCTTCACCTCGCATTTCACCTCGCAAATACCAGAGAGATTTTGATGCATTTTATATTACAAATGTGTTCACCTATAAAAAGATAGCATTCAAATGACAAGTAATGTTTTCATTTCATTAAATATTAAAAAGAGCAAAAACATATACCAGTTAACATGAAATCTTTGCAAATTTTTTATTTGAAATATTTTTAAAACAGTTTTGTTGCTGGCGTTATATTACGAGAGAAATTGCCGGCTTTTGAGCGTATGCTATGGCGTGCCTGTCGTGGCAACGTATTTCTACGTCAAGCTATGATTGAATCGCACTTAGAAGATCCCTCAAGCGTAAGCTAATATTAAAAGTGAATTTGTAAAGGTGTTCGCCAGTTCAATTTCAATTTCAGGGTGACCAAGTTCACAAATCGGTGTTCATAATTTTCTTTCAAGGGGATCAATTGAAGATTCGTGTGAAGAAAATTTGCGAAGGTTTTCGAGCTACTTTGTATCCTTGCCCCGAGGCTCCGACAGATCGTCGAGAAATGGCGATGGGCGTGATGACACGAATTGAAGATTTAAATACGGTATTGGGTCAGACTGAAGATCATCGACGTCGCGTTTTAGTCGCTGCAGCCAAAAATCTAAAAAATTGGTTCGTGAAAGTGCGCAAAATTAAGGCCATTTATCACACTTTGAACTTGTTTAACTTGGACGTCACTCAGAAATGTCTGATTGCTGAGTGCTGGGTGCCAGCACTGGATATTGAGACTATACATCTGGCTCTACGTCGCGGTACAGAGCGGTCGGGTTCTTCGGTGCCGCCAATTTTGAACAGAATGCAAACCTATGAAAATCCTCCAACCTATAATCGCACTAATAAATTTACCAAAGCATTTCAGGCTCTAATTGATGCCTATGGTGTAGCCACTTATCGTGAAATGAATCCAGCTCCCTATACAATTATAACATTTCCCTTCCTGTTTGCCGTCATGTTTGGCGATTTGGGTCATGGAGCGGTTATGGCTTTATTTGGCTTATGGATGATACGGAAGGAAAAGGGTTTAGCCGCGCAGAAAACTGATAGTGAAATATGGAATATATTTTTTGGTGGCCGTTACATAATCTTTTTAATGGGCGTATTTTCTATGTATACTGGTCTCATTTATAATGATATCTTTTCGAAATCATTGAATATATTCGGTTCGCATTGGCAAATATCGTACAACAAATCGACGGTAATCTCAAACAAATTTCTGCAATTAAATCCGGAAACTGCTGATTACACTGACACTCCCTATCCATTCGGTATGGATCCTATTTGGCAAGTGGCTGGTGCGAACAAAATTATATTCCAAAATGCATACAAAATGAAAATTTCCATCATTCTTGGCGTCATTCATATGATCTTTGGTGTGATTATGAGTTATTATAATCACACATACTTTAAGAATCGTTTATCTCTGATATATGAATTTATACCACAAATGGTATTTTTGCTATTTTTGTTCTTTTATATGGTTTTATTAATGTTCATCAAATGGAATCGTTATTCCGCCAAAAATTATGGTTCGTAAAATTTGCCATAAATTGAAAATGTTGGTAACACGTAATTGTCATTACAGGACGATATTCGGCTTCTTGCGCTCCCTCAATATTGATTACCTTCATTGATATGGTATTATTTAATACGCCAAAGCCTGTGCCCGAACCTTGTGAAGTGTATATGTTCGGTGGTCAACATTTTTTCCAAACGATATTTGTTCTTGTAGCGTTGGCTTGCATACCAGTTATGCTTTTGGCTAAACCTTTGAATATAATGAAACAGCGTCGTCAAGGCAATGTAAGTATCACTTAGAAAGACCAAAACCAAGATCATTGCTTGCAAAAAAAAAAAAAGAAAGAGTTTTTTGGTTTTCAAAACACCGTATGCGGAGTTTACGTTTACGTAAACATTGAATTTAAATTTGATTATATTGATTAATAATTGCTTACGCGATCGATCACAAATTAACCGAAATTCTCATTCATGACCTACAACTCTGTAGAAACGAAAATGAGTTATTTAACCAAAAAATTCGGACTCGTTTATGTTATGTACGCAACTGATAATAGGATATTGCTTATGACAATTCCTATTGCATTGCGTCTTCTAAAAAAAAAAAAAAAGAAGCATTAACTAATCAAATTACACTTTTTTCAATATTTACTTACATTTTTCTCACAACTGACACAGGAAGAGGTTAGTTTGGATATTTTTTACTTATTTCATATATTTCAGCTATGAAGATGCACAGCAAAAAAAAAAAAAATCTATTCCCTCGAATTAAACGCAAATGTATTGGAATCTTTTTTTTTTTTTTTTCTTTCTCAATTTTTGTCATCTCAATGGCCGAGTTAATCCGAAATTTTTTTTGTGAATACTGACGTAGTAGTAGATTTCTTCCTCTACGCTCATCAGGGATTGCTTAGTCTACGTAGGATTCGCAATTAATTGAATTCTGCTCGTCTGTCTATCTATCGTCTCTTGTTGGAACTATTTCTGCAGTGAAAGTGTTACGACAGTAAACTGATACTTGCCACAAATTCATAAATGTTAGAATAGAATAGAAAGTTAAACAACGACTCAATGTTTTTAGGACACATTAAGTTGAATCTCTACCTATACAGCCATCAAGAAACTCTCCAATACAAAAACTACAAAACTGATATATAAAGATATAGTACAATATGAAAGTACTCATTTTTAACGCGAAGGACTCGTTTCAAAACTTGATCTATTTTAATTTAAAAAAAGAAATTAATTAAATTGAATTATTTTTCAAGTTTCAACTTGGTTTAATAGGAGTCGATGATTTTTTTCGATGATAGATGAGTTCCTTCATTTCCATATCTGTAAACAAAATTGTCCGTAAATATTACGATGTCCTTTATTAGTTTGTGGACTATCTGACCTTGAGCGAATTCTTTCAAAACAAACAAAAGTAAAATCTTCTTAAGCTAAATTTCACGAGAGGAATTGCATTAAATTACAATCACAAAACTGTATACATATATATATATATAAAATACTCCCTCCGATTTACTACTAAATTCATTTTGCGGATAAATTTACATAAATTTTTACGTTAATAAGGTTCAACCCATTGCTGCTGGTTCAACCAGTGACGTTGAAGTGGGCATGTCTAATGGCCAAATAAGTCAAGGTGTCGATCATCATGAGGAAGAAGAACTTTCTGAAATTTTCATTCATCAAGGCATTCATACCATTGAGTACGTTTTAGGTTCTGTTTCACATACTGCTTCATATTTGCGCCTATGGGCTTTGTCATTGGCGCATGCACGTAAGTACATATTTGGTTTGAATGTTAGGTTGTTTTAGGCTAAATAATTTGATAGTAAATTTAAATTGAAAACATATATATATTATATCGACTCGTCTGACATCCAAGTTTGTCTGTTGTGACTTGATTTCTTTTCATGTTTTTTAAATATCGATCAGTTTTATTCGGTAGCAGCTAACAGGTTGTAAGCCAAATTATCATAAAACGGCCTTAGTGTGTTACAAAAAAAAAAATTAATAGATAAACAATGTAATTGTGAAAATCTATCGAGACTAATGTCCAGAAACGTAATCATAATACCTCGTAACAGAAACATCAAAAAGTAAACAATTGAAACTTCTGTTCTAATCTAGAAAAATATTTTGAAAATTTTAATATTTTTCTTATTATATCCTGCATCACTTTGGATACAGGGGTGTATTAACTTTTTTTTTGGATGTACGCATCAAGCGAATTGGTACAAGGTATTTAGCTGAGGGCCGCGTTCCGCTAGAGTCATTTTACTTGGTTTGCATAACATACTTGTGACTTTATCGCGTTCTTTTATTTAGTTTTAAGAGTTTAAATCGGGTTGCAGATCTGAAATTGTGTGACGAGAGTGCTACACATTATCATTTTAGAACTTGCTGAAGTTTTATGGAATATGGTTCTTTCCAATGGTTTAAAAAAGGAAAATTGGTTCGGTGGAATCATATTGACTGTGGTATTTGCCGCTTGGGCCGTTCTAACTATTGGAATTCTGGTTCTGATGGAAGGTCTCTCCGCTTTCTTGCATACCTTACGTTTACATTGGTAAATATCCAATTCATATATATATATATATACTTAGCACAAATTATTTACACCAACAACTGTTTTAGGGTTGAATTCCAAAGTAAATTTTATCAAGGTAAAGGATACGCATTTCAACCATTTTCATTCGAATCTATTGTTGAAAACAGCTCTTCTAGTAGCCAAACTGAGGGAGAGTAAATTGAAAAAATTTCTTTCTTTATAAAAAAAAAAAAAAAATAAATAAATAAAAAATTGAATACTTGCGAGATATATATGTAGAATGTTTGTTAAAAAAAAAATTTAATTATAATAATTATATGTTAAATGTCTTATGTGTATGCTTAACTCATATTTATGTATTTTAATTAGTGTTGCTTATAAATATATATATGTATATGTATGTAAAGATATCCAAATATACTACGTGACACCAAAACAACTGTGATGAAAATTTGGAACAGTATTTACTTAAGCGGATAAACTTTAATTTACGTGAATCTACCCCAGCGTTTTTTTTTTTCATCTAATTCTTGGGATCGATTTCAATTCAAACAATATCTCAATATTAATTCTTATACATAACGTTTGCTGTTATTTGAATATATGAATTATGTGGAATTGCGATTTGTTTAGGTAAACAAACTGAAACTACAAATTTTTAAATAACAGCCTACTGCTTTAAAAAAATAAGTAAAAAATGTTTTGAGGCTGCCATCGATCATCGCCTTTGCGGATCATTGCTTGATAAACTACTCCGGAATAGTGGTTACCAGCGTTGATAAGAATGTTTTATTTTTTCACCAATTTATCCACATATCTTATAAATTTGTACGCGTTTTCCCCACTTTTGTAAGGCTTGAAAATTGCATCGTCCAATATTCGTAAAGTGTAGTTTAGGTTTTCCACAGTGCAGCATTTCAAATATCCTAACTTGTCTAATTGATTGGCCAATTCGCTTTGATGATTGTCCATTAATTCTCCATTAATTACAACAATGCCCGGTTTTTGTGCATTCATTAGCTCGATACAAGTGCCTGCACCAGCGTGACCGATAATTAAATCCGAGTTCTTGATGTCCTCATCTATGCCTTCAATCTTAAAATTGTACTGTTCGATATCTATACCGTAATTCTCTTTAATTCTCTCCACATCCAAAAGCACTCCGTTGCCCAATTGAAGAACCAGCCTTTGACAACCTAATTTTTTCAAAACATTTAAGGTATCGACACTAATCATATTTTCGATTAATGAATTAAAATGTGTCGTTCCAACTGTTACAAAGATATTCTCGAATTTTACCATTGTTCAATTATTTTCGTTATATTGCAAACAAATACTGTTCAAAGATCTCGAATAAAAACAATTCTTCTTCTTTTTATATGCTCAATATAGATAAATCAAATCGTAAGACAAATATGCGACAAACATAGAAACAAAACAAATATGAATAAAAACAAAGCCGCAGATCGTAAAAGAGTAGTCGGTCGAAAAACATATGATTGAAGCAAAAAACGGTAAAAAGTGTTTCCACGTGTCGCAAAAACGCCGAAAAATTCTTTGACAATAAAAACTAGTAAAGCAATTAACCAAAGATGTATTAATATACAATTTTAAAGCTTAGTGTTCGATTTTTTTTTTCAAATAATTGCGCTCTTTTAGTGAAATAATTAATATTTAATAATATATTTCTTAGTAGAGTAGAAACTTTTAAAAAGATGAATAAAACTGTCCGTTCCTTTAGAAAATGTACATTTTCTCAAATTCTCTAAATTCGCAACCAAAATTCCAAGACATTTCTAACTCACCTTTCATCATAAAAGTGGTGAGTGATTATAAACAAGTGATAATGGAAGGTATAATAATTCTAGCATATTGAAAGTAAATAATTTAAAAGCTGTTAATTCATTTATATATTAATATTTGGTATTGTCGATTCGAAAATCTGAATATAACATAACATTTTTCAATGAAATTGTTGTGATGAAAAGATGAAAATTTTGGCATGTATGTCGATTATCAAAAATTTACATGTGAAAGTCCACGTGATTGAGTTTCATCTTTTCCAACACTTGGCCTTCAAAGAAATGATTATAAGGTATGTAATGCGTAATCTTTGTACAATTACCATAAATGCAATATATAAAAATAGTAAGATGGACTTTGACATAAAAATTCCTTAATCGATTTGGAAATCAGGATTAAAAAACTGTTCTGTTCGGCATCACAAAAGATTAGAAACTAGGGCAACCTCAAAAGAGCAGCGATAATCTTTTCACATTTCCGTCTATAACTTTCCAAAAACATATTACCAAAATATTCGGCCCGTTTCTACATCCACAATTAACAATAAAATTTTTATTCAAATTTTTCGTACTGCATGTTGGCACGTTCTTCACCAATTTCCAAATAAATTGGGTCCATCGCGGATTAAAGTCTTATCGGTTAGAAAAAAAAAAAACAAGTCTGTTAAAATTCGATTTGAAACCCTACAATTTTCCTAGAAGCAAAAACTTGATCTCAAATTCTTTCCCCTTCGTGGCATTTGGTTTACTTTTTTTCAATTAAAATGAAGAGCTTTCCGTTATCTTTATTCTTCCTAAGAATAGTGTTAGTTGCTTCTTCTCTTTATTCAAAACATTTTTATTTTTTATTGAAAATAATTACATGAATAATTACATGGATATTACCTTTCGAGAAATTACAAGTCATTAAGAAAAACCCAACACTTGTATATATGGAAAGTTATAATATTACATTTTCATTATTGCTATATTTTGTGGGTTGGGTTACATTATCGGCATATATAGTCATTCAAAAGTCCGCAAAATATATTGTTAACCAGCGAGAGATTCACAATCGGCTCGCTTCAGTGTCGGCTTGAAGTGGTGTCGCGTGGCGTGGTGTGGCGTATGGCGTATCGTCGATATCATGAAATGCTGAATTTCAGGACATTACCAAAATTGTGCGATCTGTTCATTGTTGAAAGCAAAATAGAATATTGTACTCCTTATAGAAAAATAACGTAGAACGTCAGATCTCCGACTTTACTTAGTCGAAATAAGCCGTTGTTCGTTACCTGTTCGATTATTATTCCTTACCTTTCTAAGTCTATATAATATGTACGTATATTTAATGAAATATTGCATTTAAAGAACGAATATCAATTACGACTAAATAAGAAATTTAGTTTACATTGAGGGGGGGGAGGGTAGACTTTATATATACATACACTTCTGCACCTATCAATTTCTAAGACTATTATTTACAAGAAAAAAAAAATCCTTCTTCTCTATGAATGGGTCCGAATTACTGTCAGTGAAAAAAACAGAAGATTCTAAAAAGACTCCTATAGCAATTCAGATTATATTTAAACATATCCGGAAAGCGCATGAATAAGTTATAAAACAAAAGTGATAGTGAGTCGTTACTACATTTAATGAATTTAAAAAAAAAAAAATAAAAAAAAGATCTATACAAGTTATTTTTATCAGACAAGCCAATTGAAACAATAAACATGTATCATGGTAATGATATGTTACTTAACATAAGTCGAGCGCGAAAGAAAAGCAAAATAAAATAAAAACATATAAATAGCCATTTACGCATTTTCCTTATGAAAGGAAATTTTCTGCAGATTATTTGCTAAAGGCTAAGAATTGTATCTGCATAAAAATCTTTGTAATTTTACATAAGCGAACATTCATTCATATAATTTCTTAATTATAGCAGTACTTTTGCTTTCATTTATACCTAATCGAATTGAAATTTTGACTACTATAGTAACGATCCTAACGCAGGCGACTGAGTAATAATTCGAGGATTCACGAAATAAATAATATTCCTGCAACATTTATCTCTCTCTATTTCAATGGTAGTGATTTTCCGCTTTGCACGAAAAAAAAAAAAAAAAGGAAGATAAAAATCAATGACTTTTTGCATTGGTTGATATTTTTTTTTTCGTCAAGAGAGTATTGCTTTTGCATGTTATGTTTTATACGGTAGTCTCGAATTTTTCAGTCTGCTCGTCATAAGCATTTTGGAATTCAATTGCACTCTCAAAGGAATGTGGTTCGTCGTGATATTGTTTAACTTTTTGCAAATGCGTCGATTTATTGGTATTAGTTGCAGTAGCAGTTGCATTGGAAGATGAATGATGATTTAGTAGTACATGAGATTCGTCTATGGTCATTGTTGTTTCACCAGCAACACCACCATTACCACCAGTTATGCTATTACCGTTGATAACACTACTATTAATTCCACCACCTGATGAGAAGGTGGCAAAATAAACATCATTGACGTACTTTGCCAAATCTTTATTGTCTAACATAGATGATGACGAAGTGGAGCAAGTGTTCTCTAAATACAATTGTTCCAAGGACATTGTATTTTTTGTTGATCTCACTTCGTCTTTAAGCTTAAGCGATATGTATTTGTCCGGGACAAGACCTTCTTTGCCATTAATTGATCCCTGCCACCAATCATTTGACACCTGTTTACGCAGAATAATGCAATCTCCCTTTGTTAGCGATAATTCCCGATTAGAACGAGCATTAAAATCGAATTGTGCCATGGCCTCAAGAATTTCAGATTCATCTTCAGATGGATAAGCGTCCGATTCTGGATCTTCTGTTAAAACTTCTGATGGTGAATCGCCTACGTCCATATCTAAAGTGTGATGGGATATATATTTTTCGTACTCGAGCCCACCTAATTCCTTAGGAAACAACTCATCGTGGTAGATAATCATATTTTTGATAAGTTCGTTGATCTGATTTTGGCACTGCACCTGGTCTTTATCTTCTGGGGCTGGCATTAACGTAGGGCCAAAGCAGATGGCTAAATTGTAGGCATCCATCATATTTTCATCAGCATACTCGGACAAATGATTAAGGAAAGCGAACAAATAACGTATGACAATTACTACGCAGTTAGGTAAATTCTGTAAGAATTGGCGTATACCTCTCACCATGTCAACTTTCGTGGGCGTCTCGGCTATAGATATGAAGCTTTCAAAATAAAATTTCGGAAACAATGGCACTCTAAGTTCACGCAAATAAAGTTTTAATACGCCAGCTACGGAATTAATATCAGAAGCATCTGTAGTATCTGCCATAGGATCTTCTCCACGCTCAAAGGCCTCCTTAAAGTTACTTATTTCAACTTGAGATCCCGACACTCGGAATATTCCTTGATGATGTAGACCATATAGATTTATAACGCGTATACAGCTTCTTAATATTAACGGTATCTCTTCCCCAGTTGATTCCAAATACTCTTCTAAAGAGCCTCCAAATAATTTGGGACGTCCGGTTAGATTTTTGCGACCAATTCTTTTACGCTTGTTATTAATTGGATGCTCAAGAATTTCCCGCATAAAAGTGGCATTATTGTGCGTTAACATTTCCCTTAAATATTTGGCCTTTGCGTCCAAGCGCGCTATCCGCGACGTACCACGAATGTATTCACGTATTTTACTAATGTAAAAGTCTTCAACCTCCTCTTTTTCAGCTTTAAGTTTGGGATTTGCAGCTATTGCGGCAGCATTCTTTTGCAAAATGCTTTTTTTATGCTCAATGAACGCAAGGCTTACATCACAGTCTTTATTGTTAAAATGTTCTAACAGTTTAACCTCAGCCACTTCTAAAGTTTTCCAAATCTCATCAGACTCGGTGCGCAGTGCTGATAAACGTTTACTAATTAAGTGCAGCCTGTTCTCCATATCTACAAACAATTCCTTCTGAACATTTTGTTCCAAAGCATCATCATTGAATTGGCCTTGGAACTCAAAACGCTTGGGTATCATGAATGCAGCATGATATTGTTCCAGGAATTTCTGCTTGTCTTGTTGGCTATCAATAAGATGTACAACATGAGCCAAACTGTCTGCTTGGCTTAGAATGGATTGTGCTCTGCCTTGGTCGGCAGTAACGTGCATAATTAAGCATCGAGATATCATAGAACTAAAACCTAGGTCCATACAATCAATCAAATCGCTTAAGTCATCCGTAAAATATTTGTGAATGGTGGTATTAGACGATTCTAAGCATAATTGGTACTCGCTTTTTGCTTTTAATGCCTTCATACGAGCATCGGTGTATTTTGTGCGTCTTTTTAAAACTTCTTTTTCTATCATTCTATACTTTTTGCTGCTATGCAATTTTTCTTTCTGTATAGTTTGTTCTAATTTTAACTGCTGTGCTTCCGCTGTGATTAATTTCACTTCAACAGCTTTCCACTCCGTCTCGTACTTCTGATAGGTTTTCATCGTTGCATATAATTCCTCCAAAACCCGTAATATTTCTTCATGAATATCATAACCTATGGCCCTACACTTCTTGTAAATACGTTGTACATCTTCGATGATACTTTGCAGCGACGACACCATGTTTATAGAATACATTTCGGACAATGTGGCGTGATCCTTGCTCAGTGATTGTGTCTGATCTAATAAGTGTGACCAACAGGCGAAAGCTGAAAAAATATGCCACTGTTCTCTTTTTTGTTTTTGCTCCTTATGTCTGGCATGTAAACTGCGTACCAACTTATCCAAGTTCTTACTATATTCCATTTCCAATTCACCTCGTCGCCGGAATAAATCTTGCAGCTCCTGTATCAAACATACCTGCGATTCTACTCGAACGTCTAGACATCGCAGATGTTCGTTTAATTGTTGTCGTATATTATTGAAGAGAAAAACCTTTCTCGTGGAGCCAACTCGCTTCATTGGACTTTTTACATCTTGATCATTCTCGTCCATCTTCATTTGTGACTCTATGTCATTTACTCTAATATTTCCGGAAAAGAAAAAAACAAAAAACAGACGGCTTATAAGTAAATGGCGTTCGTCCAAAAATATGTATGTGCTTATTGCACTCATTCACTCACATCCACTTTTTATGCACACAAATGTGCTCTTGTGCGTATTTGATGTGATGATGGTGGTGTAAATATTAATTGAATGGAATAGATTTTATCATTACCCTTGAACAATTTATACACAATATTTTCTCTTAATATCTTATGGAGCAATGAAAGATATCTTTCGAAGATTATTTATATATATATATATATATATATATACATATACATATATATGTATATATCAAATATTAGAAAAACCAGACAAGCCTACTGAGCAGGAAAGATTGATATAATCCAATCGAAAAAATAACTTCTCTTGTTCTTCGATGGCGAAAAACGCTACACTAAACCACTACACCCTTTTTATTCCTTATATTCACAATTCGTAGCATTTTCTTGTGTATGTTGGCCTGCTGCTAACTGAAGTACTCTAATTGCAGTATTATTACAACGAACGCTGCGCTGTTGTGTAGCACACACACTGCTGTTTCCTCTTTATCAATACCTGAATATTGCCTTATTGAAGTCATAATTCATTACCAAGTTTTTTGGCCTTATGAAAATTTTAGTTGTTTCCGTCTTTGTTTTATTTTTGAGCAATATATAAAAATTAAATAAATTTGTAAATGAAATGCAACAGTGCTAATATAGCTGAATAACATTTACTACATCATTGCAAATACTGCTAATTACTATTTTATCATATTGTGTTGTCAACTGATTCGTTGAACCACATTGCCGACATGCAGATTCGCTTTCTAGAAAAATCAAATAATCGAACGCCATATTGCAAAGTGCAGACATTCGTGAAATAAAATTTCTGCGCTACGGATCAATTTTTCCTGTGAGTTGGTAATTGAATAATTTATAAATTTTCAATACAGAATATACTTAAAAATTTCTTTAACAACTGAAAGAAAAAGAAAACGTCAATTCGAAGTGAAGAGTCTGAAAGCGATAGAAAATTGAACAAATTTTTCATTTCATATTTTTTATTCTCCTGTAACAAACGCATCTTATTTCTTGTGCGGACTCATCATTTGGATTTACAAGAAAGGTAAAGTTATATTTTTAATTTTATACGAAAGGCGAATAAAAATTTCAAAATTTATCAAGAGGTATATAGAAATTTTTGCATGTGGTTAAGAAATTTTTATTCATGATAAATTGTGGTGTATGCTTTTCATTCTTCGATTTAATGTGTTAATATACGCAAGGCACAAAAAATTGGGCATTGCCATTTAAGTATTTGACAAATAGAAGTGAAAGAAAATGTGATGTAAGAAAATGTAATTGTTTCGGAAAAAGCTGTAGGACAAAAAATCGTTGAAACGAAAACTTGTTAACATGAAAATCCGCTCTTAAGGGTGGGGAATAAAAGCTACTTAATAATTCGTGAAATGTCATTTTCTCATTGAAGTATATCAATCAAATTTAAGGAAATGCTGCCATTTTTTTGTAGATTTCGCTAAAACAAGCAGTATCCAGAAAGGTAGAAATTTATTCTATCCCTTCCATTTACAATCGATACCTATTTCATCTGATTTTCATGGCTTCTAACTTCATAGAAAGAATCGATTTGAAAGATTTCGTGGTTTTAAAAAGGGACATAGGGGAAGATTTTTATGACTAAATGGGTCTACAATTTTTCTGTGGATACTGGTAATGTTTCGGTCGATGCGAACTTGTGTGAAAGTACTAGGAATCTATAAAGTCTTGCAATCATAGCACTAAAGGCATTATATAAAATATGTATGTACATATATTTATATTTATGTATGCATAGACATAGAAATGATTTTCTAATATATTGAATCTTTTTTTTTTATTACATTTCGCAATTTTTAGCTTATTTCTATACGAATTTTAATTAATTTTTGCTCATCAGTCGACCAATATCAGTAAGCACGTTTTATTGTGTTCAGCTGTGCACAACAAACAAAGGAATTCCCGAACGCAGAAAATTTACACTAAACGAGAACAATAGAAATGGTTAAAGAGACAGGTTATTATGATTTATTGGGTTGCAAGCCTAATGCCTCAGCTGAAGAATTAAAAAAGGCCTATAGAAAATTGGCTTTAAAGTACCATCCTGACAAAAATCCTAATGAGGGAGAGAAGTTCAAAGCCATCTCTCAGGCCTATGAGGTATTATCTGATCCAGAAAAACGATCTATTTATGATGAAGGCGGTGAAGCTGCTATAAAGAAAGGCGGTGCCGACACAGGCGATTTTCGTAATCCCATGGATTTCTTTGAAAAATTTTTCGGGGGTGGCTTCTCTTCGGGAAGACGGCGTGAGCGACGAGGAAAAGATGTTGTTCATCAGATGTCAGTTACTCTCGAAGAGTTGTACAACGGTGCAACTCGTAAATTAGCTCTGCAAAAGAATGTTATTTGCGATAAATGTGAGGGTCGCGGTGGCAAAAAGGGGGCTACTGAAAAGTGTGCGCAGTGTCATGGTGCCGGTTTAGAGACGCGTATTCAACAAATTGGACCTGGCTTGGTACATCATGTTGAAAAGGTGTGCTCTAGATGCTCGGGAACCGGCGAAACGATCAACGAGAAAGATCGCTGCAAGCAATGCAGCGGACGAAAGACAGTTCGTGAGCGTAAAGTGTTGGAAGTACATATTGAAAAGGGAATGCGCGATGGCCAAAAGATTGTATTCAGCGGTGAAGGAGATCACGAACCTGATTCACAGCCTGGCGACATTGTTATATTACTGGATGAGAAAGAACATCACACATTTGTGCACGCCGGCACTGACCTCATGATGAAAATGCCAATTCAATTAGTAGAGGCTTTATGTGGTTTTCAGCGAGTAATTAAAACATTAGATGAGCGTGATTTGGTGATAACTTCACCGAAGGGGGAAGTGATGAAACACGAAATGACTAAATGCGTAATGGATGAGGGTATGCCTTTATACAAGAATCCGTTAGAAAAGGGTCGTCTTATCATTCAATTTGAAGTCATTTTTCCTGAATCGACTCCATTGTCTGTCATATCTGCTCTTGAGCAATGTTTGCCACCCAGGCCCGAGGTTACCATTCCAATTGACGTTGAACAAGTCACCTTGGTAATATTAACATATTAACTTATTACCAAAGGCAATCAATTAATTGACTATTTTCATTTACAGTCGGACTTTGATCCTAAACAACGTCGAGAACAGCAACATCATCGCATGGTTTATGAGGAAGACGACCGCTACGAACAAGCACCTAGAGTGCAACAATGTACCTCCAGTTAAATGAATTTCCCTCGTTCCTTCCTAACAGCCCGCGGTGAACTGCACCCTACACTATTCTCTCTTATTCATTTTCCTAGAAATTATAACGCAACTTAGCTTGATACATATTTCGATAACATAACGAAGAGCAGCGATTCCAAATGCTAAAACTTTGTTCTTTCGATAACTACTTTTCAGGAAATCAAAATTTTTGTGTTTTTGTTCATAATATGCACATCAAATAAACAATCAGTGAGGTTTTTCTTTTCCATAAAAAAAAATTTAATATTTATCGGTACACATAAAGTTGCTTAGAACTACTTTTAGATATTGACTAAACAGCTGAATGAGGCGCAGTTTTTCTTTTAGCTTTTTTATGTAATATTTTACATTACTATTATGAAATCAGAAAAATATAAATATACTCAAACAATCTGTCAGGTAAATTCTTTTGAGAATTTCTCGTAAAGAAATGTGGGAGTGTAAGGTGCGAAAGGAGAATGGATTTGTGCTTCATTTCGATTATATTGATTAAACACTTAAGCTGGGATTGAGAGACTATCTTTTTCCTTTCAAATTTCCAGTGATAGGAGTTTGAACCGCTTTAGGAATTAATTTGTTTTTACATTTACTTTTCCTTCCACGATTTTTTTCTTCATTTATGATACTATGTCATTTACCTAAACATTTCCGGAAACAAGAAAGGCGGAAAACATGTATGTGTTTATTGTATCAATTCATTCATTTTCATGGAAGGAAAGGTGCGCGTATTTGATGTGACTAGAGCAGTATACATAATTGGATGAAAGAATAGATTTTATCATTATCCTTGTACAAGTTACACACAATATTTTCTCTGAATATCTTATGGGCAGTGAAAAATATGTAGAAAAACAAGAGCAGGAAAGATGGATATACCCAATCGAAAAAATAACTTCTCTCGCACTTCGATGTCGAAAAACGCTGTACTCAACCAACTACTACATCCTTTTTGTTTTTTATTTTCGAAATTTGCAATATTTTCTTATAAATGTTTGCCTGCTGTCAACTGAGGTATCATAATTGCAGTATTATTTACAAAAGTCTTCATTATAAATGCTGCTTTCCCTTTTTTTACCTCTAAACACGTGAGTCTTATAAGATCATAATTCACTGACAAGTTTATTGGGTCTTACGTCAATTTCTCTCTTTGTTTTATTTCTGGGTAAAATGTAAAATTTAAATAAATTGCAAAAGAAATGCAACAGTGCAAAATTCAAATACTGCTTATTACTATTTTGTGATATTGCTTTATCAACCGATTTGTTGAACCACATTGCCGACATGAAAGTTTGCTTTCTACAAGAATAAAATAATCGAGCGTCATATTGCAAAGCATGCACATGAACATTCGTGCAATAAAATTTTGCGATGCTGATTAATTTTTCGTATGAGTTGGTAATTGGCTAATTTTATAAATATTGAATATAAAATAAAACTACAAATTTCTTTGAGAGCTAGAAAAAAAAGAGAACGTCACTTTGATCAAAAGTTGGAAAAATATTTAATTTCATATATTTTATTCACCTATAGCAACCGTATTTTCCTTCTTTTTGTGTGCAACCAACATCTGAATTTAAAAGAAAGGTAAAGATATATTTGAAAATTGGTTATGAAATTTTTATTCACAATAAATCGTGGCAATGTGCTTTTCGTCGTCAAACATGGTGTGCCTTCATGGACGCAAGTAACAACACATTGGTATTGCCATTTAAGATTTTAACAAAAAGAAATGAGAGGGAATGCAATCGTTTCGAGAAAAGTTTAGAACATATCCATGTTCGCCCTTAAAGATGGAGAATAAGAAATATTTAGTATTTTGTGAAATACCAATTGCTCGTTGAAATAGTTTCAGCAAATTTGATAGAATACATTTACAGATTTATTTTAACAGCAGGACAATTTCAGAAAAATGAAGAGGGCTTATATTCTCCCATAAGTTTGAAATTGATAACTATTTCATATGACTTTTTAGCTTTCTAAGGAGAATTGAATTCCGGCGCATTTGAGATTGTAAAGAGACAGAGAATAAGGTTGTTGTGACTAAGTCGGGATTTTTGAAGTCATTACCCAAAGTCTATATAAACATAGAAATTTTTTGTTGTACCAATTCAGCTCTGAAGTGAAGAAGCAAGCAAGCAAAGTAAGTATGTACCTATATATACTCTTGAAGTGTATCTATCATTCGCAGGTTTTGTACAAAAGCCTTCTTATTATGATCTGTTCTGTGCAAATACCTTTCTGGCAAATTAAAGGAGAAGTGACTGAGCGACCACTTGTTAGAATGTAAATATTGAAAACATTTATTCTCCTCCAATAGGATGGTTTATGTATTCATAAGCGATTTGATCAGATTTCATTTATGTTTATAAATCTTAACGCCGTTTCGTCATTGCGGGCAATACGACCTATCCAAGGAATGCTGAAATCGCTCCAAGGCCAAGAGCAGGCCATTAAAGATACCGATTGTATGGTTTTAGCTCCCATTTCCCATTCATAGGTTTTCATTGAATAGTTGAAATCAAGAAAAGGCCGGAACTTGTTATCAATGATTTTTATGCAATTTAAAGGAAGTAAGGTTAGTTTCTCTACACATTATTCCAAATTAAGGTATTTGAACCATTTTTTCAGGTATTAAAACCATTAATTTAGTTCTTGTCTTGTTTACTTTCAGTAGGTCTTCCAATCATGCATCACATTGTGTTTACATTATTAGATGCTGCTACTGAGTTGTGTAATAATTTCGTCTTTGTCCTGCATGCATGTTGTATATGTAAGTTCGATACATGTTTTATACAAAAGTTCTGAAAAGTTTTGTATAATAATTCCATCCCTGTTCTGCATACGTGTTCTATATGGAAGTTCAATGTGAAGCTTTTGTAGAAAAGGTGTGTACATATTTTGTTTACATATTTTCCGATGCTGTATAATTCTTAATTGATTTATAAAAATATAGATGTAAGACATTGTATTTCTACTGCAATATCAGAGGTATCTCTTGGCTGCCTTAAGGCGTAAGCAGAAATGGTCGACTTTTAGGAAGCCCGCAGGATGTCTAGAACCTGGCTGTTCCTGTTCGCTTCTTCTTTTTTCTTTGTTCTTTGTCTTATTTCTTTCTCTCTTCTCTCTTCTTCTTTTTCTCTCTCTTCTTCTCTCGCTCTTCTTCTTCTTCTCCCTTCTTCTTCTTCTCTCTCTCTCCTTCTTCTTCTCTCTCTCTCCTTCTTCTTCTCTCGCTCTTTTTCTTCTCTCTCTTCTTCTCTCGCTCTT